CGGCAATTGTGGCAGTGATGATGGCAGTGGTTACGACAATAATAGTGGTAGTTGGTGGTGGTAGCGGTGGCATGGTAGTGGTGCCAGTGATAGTGACATGGTGGCGATGGGTGGAGGTGATAGTGGTGGTGGTGGTGACGACTGCACTGGTGGTACAATGACGACGACGACAATGGTGGCGGTGGTCGTGTTGAGATAATAGTGGCAATGGTAATGCTAATAGTGGTGGAGAGTGATTGATAGAGCCAAATATTTCTCATTTTATATTTGAGAACAAAAAAACAGAAATTTTTTGATTGTTTTTTCTGTTCCCAACACAAAAATTAAACAGTTTCATCTTAGGAATAAAGAAAATAAATTGATTTTATCAAATAAATTTTCTATTCATTTTTGTTCCTGAAAATAGAAATTAAGAAAAAAAAAATTAATTCCGAAAAAATTATCATACAAATCTTAAATGACTTAAAAGGCAAATTCATAGGAAGGTTTTTAAACTTTTTCCTATTTTTTATCCTTGTTCCCTGTAATTGGGTTTATTGAGCGAGACCCAACTCGTTTTGGATAATTGTTATTAATGTTGATGTTAAATCAATAATTTTAATCTTCGACCATTATTATTAATATTTTCCCTAAGTTTTCTCATAAAAAATGCTAAACATTTTTCTTTCGTATAATCAAGAACAAATACCTACGAAAATAAAACAAAAAAAAATATCTATTTTTTTTGTAGTAATAAAAACTATTTTTGGGGAGTAAATATAAGATCTGTTTTTACTCTGCGTATGACATCTACCATTAGAAAATTTCTTCCGTACGTTGGATGTATCTAAGTGGATATATATTTTTTTAATAAAAAGAAAAAGTTTTCATCCTATTTAATTCATATATTTATAAGTATTTTTCATTAGAGTAAATATCTTTTTGGGTCCCTAACAAAAAATTCGGTACTCATTTTAGTCCCTTACAAAAAAAAAATAGTCTCGAGGTCCCTGACAAATTCAAAGTGGACCCATTTTAGTCCTTTTGAGGGACTAATATGAGTCTTTTTTGAATTTTTGCGGGACCACAATTTCAACTAAATGGGGTCCACTTTGAATTTGTTAGGGACCTCGAGACTAATTTTTTTTGTAAGGGATTAAAATAGATACCGTATTTTTTGTTAGGGACCAAAAAAGACATTTACTCTTTTCATTAAAGAGTAAACACCATTTTTGGTCCCTAACAAAAAACATGATCCCCACTTTAGTCCCTTACAAAAATAAATTAGTCAGTTAGTCCCGAACAAATTCAAAGTGGACCCATTTAGTTGAAATCGTGGTCCCTCACAAATTCAAAAAAGACCCATGTTAGTCCTTCAAAAGGACTAAAATGGATCCACTTTGAATTTGTTAGGGACTAACTGACTAATTTATTTTTGTAAGGGATTAAAGTGGGGACCGTATTTTTTGTTAGGGACCCAAAATGATATTTACTCTTCATTAAATCTCAAATTTTACTTTTTTTTGGATAGATACGCAAAAAAGCGCTCCTACCACTAAACCCATGATCAGAAAGAGAGTACGGCAAGAAAAAATATCTCGCCTATGAAAAATAGATTTATCTCATGTACATGGACGTGTGGCATATGTGAAGAGATTAGAGAAAAAAATAAAAACATTACACATATATTTTTGGGAAATATTAGTCTCCTTTTATATGAGGTAGCTTATCTCATTTTCTCTCACTTCGATTCCTGCACTTCACTTTTTTTTCTTTTTTCTTTTTTCTTGTAATGGTGGGACCCACTTAGTTTCTCTCTATAACATAAGATACCTATCTTATGTAAAAGGAGATTAGTAAAACCCTATATTTTTTTAGGGTTCGTTTTTTTCTGCAGCTACCGCAGATAAGTTATCTGCAGTAAGCTTAATACGACGTCGTTTTGGTACGAAAATCATGATATTTTTGTAATTTTAATTTATTTCAAGATTACAATAGCCTTTATATTTATAATTTTTTAAGATTTCAATACTAAAACGATGTTGTTTTGGAAAAAATGCAGATAACTTATTTGCAGTAAATATTTTTTCCATTTTTATATGTACATAAGAGAGAAATTAATCTCTTACATTTTAAAAAAAAATAATCCATAATTATAAATCGATGACCAATTACCATTACTCATATATTTCTTTTAGAATTTTAATAAATTAAAGTAATTATATAAATATATATATATATATATGAAGGAATCTTTTGACTTTGGTGTAAGATTTAAAAGTCTTATTCCTCATCTCAATCGTTTATTCCGTCCATTTAATTGATGTCATTTATTTGTAATTAATAACTACTTTATATAATTCAATAAACTATTATATTTATATGGACAGAAATCAAAAGTTAGATGATGAGTAAGACTTCTAAGTCTTACATCAAAGTTCCTCCTTTTATATATATATATATATATATATATATATATATATATATATATATGGGAAAAGTGTTTGTCATTTTAAATATTATAAAGTTATGTCATTTTAAGAGAGAGATAGACACAAAATAATAATTTGTTTATTTGAAATTTAAATTAAAAAAATCACTCACTTTCTCTCCTATGATTTCCAGTCTTTGTGTCTCTCTCTCTTAAAATGACATAACATATGTCCTTTAAAAGGACAAACATTAAACCCTATATATATATATATTATTTATGAATTTTTGAAATAAATTTATATAAAAATTACTTTTTTATTTATTTTAAATATCCTTTCAGCCAGAGTGGGCATCAAATTGATATCTCAAACCCAGAATAGAGTTAAGAAATTCATAATGAAGTGTAAAAGTAATTTATTTATTTTATTTTAAAATAATTAAATGTTGAATTTTATATATAGAATCCACTTACATCGGTACAAATATTATATCCAATGAATTTTACTTTTATCAAACGATCTTATTTATTAAATATATAAAATATTTTATACAAATGGGATTAATAATTAAGATTTTATTTCCAAAAAAAAAATAATAATTAAGATTTGATGTAATATTTTTTATTTTTTAAATCGAAATAATATAATTCTCCTTTATTTGTGTAGGATTAATATCTATTTAAACATTCGGTACTATCACTTTGACCATAAATTATTGTTAATAACATTCGAAACTTTACAAGCAAAGTTTAGTTACATATGGAATTCAAGTTTTCAACTGAATCACTTCATGGTTATTCAATTTATATTTAAATTTATGAAATGAAAATGTATATTTTTGTGGGATCTATATCACTAAAATCCATCCCCACCGGCCACCGCAACTATTTAATGGAAATATTTGACAAGATTCAACCTTTTAAAAATTATTGTTTGCCTACATTACACATATACGGAGGAAGTCCCAAATTTAATGCTTTATATTTATCTTCACTTTTGTATGGTTATGATTTCCCATATTTAATGTTTTCACTTTAAATATGGAAAATCATGACCATACAAAGATGAAAATAAATATAACCGTTGGTTCAATATAATCGATCTAACGGTGAGATTGATTGGTAGTCATAGTAACAAAACTTGGTTGTCACAATATCCTTTCCCCTATATATATATATATATATATATATATATATATATATATGTGTGTGTGTGTGTGTGAGGCAGGATCCTTTGACACCAGTGTCAAATTTCAAATTTCAAATTTGACACCTCATCTGAGAGCCATTAGATCAATGGTGTCACATGTTTACAAATCAGAATCGTTGATCTTTTTTGATCTAACAGCTCTCAGATGAGGTGTCAAATTTGAAATTTGACACCAGTGTCAAAGGATCCTACCTCTCATATATATATATATATATATATATATATATATATATATATAGGGATAGGATCCTTTGACACCAGTGTCAAATCTAAAGTTTGACACCTCATATGAGAGCTGTTAGATAAAAAAAGATCACATGCTTACAAATCAGAGTCGTTGATCTTTTTTGATCTAACGGCTCTCAGATGAGGTGTCAAGTTTCAAATTTGACACCGGTGTCAAAGGATCCTGCCTATATATATATATATATATATATATATATATATATATATATATATATATATATATATATATAGGCAGGATCCTTTGACACCGGTGTCAAATTTGAAACTTGACACCTCATCTGAGAGCCGTTAGATCAAAAAAGATCAACGACTCTGATTTGTAAGCATGTGACACCATTGATCTTTTTTTATCTAACGGCTCTCAGATGAAGTGTCAAATTTCAAATTTGACACCGGTGTCAAAGAATCCTACCTCATATATATATATATATATATATATATATATATATATATGAAAATGGATCCTCTCATGTGAAAAAAAAAACATAGCATGGTTATGCGAAAAGATCACAACCATACAAAGGTAAATCAACGGTTATGATTTCGTAACTACCTATTTTAACATTTTTTCTCTCTCCTCCTTTATTACCATTGATCCACCTTTATATGATTATGATTCCCCACATGACATGATCATGTGAATTTTCACATGAGAGGATCCAGATCCTATATATAGATATAGGATTAATTTGTAGCAATATAAAAATAATAAATCTTACACCAAATCTTAACCGATGATTTTCGTATATCTAATAATTGTAATTTATTAGCTCATATATATAACTCTCACTTAAAATAAAATAATTATTTTATCCCCAACAAAAATCTAATCAAAACATGCATAAATTCTACCAACCTTTCAATTAAACAAAAAAATAAAATAAAAATACTTCTATTTATTGTTAACGGAGAGGGACAATTACTATCAAACAGAATAAATCGATTAATCACCTCTTATTAAGTATTATCATGTATTATTTTTTTTTTCAATTTTTTTCTTCCTAACATGTAACATCAGTTCATTTACTTTCTCTGGCTCATTGCATCGGCCAGACATGAAAAATTGAAGGAAAAATGAATATTAGAACAAATAACAGACTGCATATGGAAAAATAGAATCCGATAGTTGGTTGATTACAAATTTACAATACTCTTGACAAAAATACTTTACACTATACACAAGATTGAAAAAATAAATGCCCTGGACTATGAAACCCAATGTTTGTGAAGTGATGTCGCAAATTAATCAGGAATATAAAGAATCACATTAACTATAATAAACGAAATGAGATCAGAATAGTTTATATTCATGCATTATCATTAATAATCACTTTTATACTGAGACCATCTTTGAAATTCATCATCACTATCATCACTATCATCTTTGAAAGCCATACAATCTTCCTGATCTTTGACATGGGCGTCCTGCTGAGTTGTCGCAATCTTGTCTTTCTGAGTTGTCGCAATCTCGTCTTGCTGAGTTGTTGCAACCTCCTCCTGCATTCAGATAAAATAAATACCAAGATCAACAATACTTTTATCTCAAACTAATTAGGGTTGGTAAAAGATAAATCCAAATGAAAAGGTACCAAAAAGATTGAGAAAAAAGAGAGGATAAAAATAAAATTTTAAAAATATAAATAACACTAAAATTTAAAAAATAGCAATAAACAATTAAAAAGAAAAATAAGATAAAATGAAGTAAAAATAAAGATAAATAAGAGAGAAAAAAAGAAAAGAAAGTAAAAAAAAAAATTAAAAAAAAATAAGAGTGAAAAAATAAAATAAAATAAAAAATAAAATAAGAGAAGAAAAATAGAAAGAAAAAAAGGAGAAAAAAAAAGAGAAGAGGTAAAGAAAGATATAAAAGGGAAATATGGGGGGAAAGACTAAAAATGGACAATTTAGAACATAAGAATAACAACGGGCTTACCTCTCCACAATGCAAATAACATACCGTCCACCAATCTATATCCCACTTTAGTAAGTTTTATTTTACTATCTTTCCCCAAGTAAGTTCTAACCGATCTCTCTCTCTCATGTCAAGCTTTTATAACACACTCTGTTCTTACGGGAGAACCTAAGGGTCTTCGTATTATGTGTCCTTATTACCTTAATTTATCTTCACTCATCTTTTCAACTATCGTACTATTCTTACTTTTCATCGAATATCTTCATTTCTTATCTTATCCATATTTTTATGACCACACATCCACCTTAACATTCTCATCTCCGTTACTCCTCATTGAATGCTCATGTTGCCTATGCGCTAACAAAAATCCAGCTCCATATAACATTATAGGCCTTACTGCTGTTCTATAGAGCTTTCCTTTTAGCCTAAGAGGAATCTTGCGGAAACACACAAATCCTGATGCACTATACCATACCATTTCATCTACTCTGCTCTGATTCTATAATTTACTTCCTCGTCATTCTGTTAGACCCTAAAAGTTATTGCTAGGAAAAGATATAGGAAATCACTCCCACCTATTGAGTCAGCACTAAGTTCATTAGAGGAGAATATTCTAGCAACTAAAACAAATGAGGGGGGGCATGCGATTTGCGCACCACATACTGACGGGGATATCAGAATAGGAAGCAGGGAAGGTTGTTAAATAGGAGAGGGGTACTCATAATAGGATCATGGTGGAATTAGGGCTTGTTTTGGGAGGGTTACAGAGCTCATCGAATTGGTGAATCACACCTAGGAGGGCAGCGCGTCAAGTTATGGATTTAGTAAAGGATATTCGATATCAAAAATTTTCCTTTATCATTTGCTAGGTTATGTCAGAAAAGGTTTTAGGTTACATTACAGAGACAGGACCGCGAATTATATGGTTCCCTTATCCCTCTGCCACGGAGACAAAAGGATGTTTTGGGGAGGGGGTTCTCAAGGGAGTGGGGGGCATGTATTATCTCAAGCACGAATTGGTATATAACTGGCTTTCATTTCTAGATCTATGCCCACAGCCTGGAGTTCTCCTTCATACTCAATTGTGTTTGCTGCCCGAGCTCCAGTCTATTAAGTTTCTCATGTTTCAGTCCCCGCTTTTTTCTTTTTCTTTTTCTTTTTTGCATTTCTTTTGACCCCTTAGAGGATTTCTAAACACTACCAAAATTACTAATTACACAAATAAAACTTTCTATAAAAAAAAAAGAGAACAAATAATCAAAGGCAACTTATCTTAAACCCTTGCAATATACTATAAGTAACTTGGCCATCTGAACTTTAAAGCCGAAGATATCAGCATTGATCTAATAACTTGCGGTAAAAGCTTTAAAACCTTAGAGAAGCGTATTTAAGAAACAAAGGGCAAAACCAAGTAAAAATGTTAATAGACCTGCTAGGTCCCATATTCGAAAATGGATTCTCTCGTATTAAATTTTACTTGACTTGTCACGTGAAAATTGTGTCTTTCTCTAATAAACATTAAATAGGTGGCGTTCTATTAAAATTTCCCCACATTCCCACAGGCAAATGTCATGCAGTAAGAATATTTATCTGATAAGAAAATTATATAAATTATTTGCACCAAAAGAAGGGAGACACCAGAAGATAAACTAAAAAGGCTAAAATTGCATACATTAGTTCCAGGTGTCAAGTCCTCAACCTCCTCCCCAGTCATGAAATCTGAAGCATCTCTGCCGGGGTCTTTTTCTGCCTTTGTGGAAGCTTGTTGCAGTCGCTCAATCACCAATTTAAAATGATAGTGATCTACGAGAAAAGAGTATAGATTTAATTTAGTAGAATTTTATTCCCACACTACGGAATATATGGAGAGCAACAAACCATTCTAAATTTATGTTTTGCCATGATAAATTAAAGAAAAAGTTGTAAAAGACATCTTGAGGATCGTTTCTGGACGGCTTACAGAGTAAACAAATAAGTATGACAGAGAACAACACACCACAGTAAATAAAGAGTGTAACCTTTAGCACGATTATTTACAGCATCAGATAACAGTAAAGGATGCTGGCGCTCTTCCTTCTTGTACTTCAACTTAACCTGATGACGTGTTCGACCAGGAAAAAGCTGTTGTATCATAGAAAAATCTGTGCCAAACTGCCTAATAGCCTATGTTACAAAAAAGAATTAGTTAATTTACTGTAAAGGACTGCTCTTTCCCCCATCCCCCAACCCAAAAAAGAAAAATTGCTGTGTACATCTGTGTTTGAGGGAAATAATAAGGTCAGATATCTTGCGAGAATTATGAAAATACCTCATAAAACAGTTCAGTATCTTGTTTTGACCATTTTCCCCTAGGTGCCTTGTCCATGAAAGACTGGTAATTGAATAAAGACGAAGCAAATGGAATACTCTCACTGGCTTGATCATCGCCGGTGTCTCTACCATCTTCTGAACCTAAGGTCTCCTCTTCATTATTAGCACCAGCCTCATGAAGGGAATCTCCACCGCTGCAGATAAATATTTTGCAAACGGAAATCTATTTACTAGACTGCTGACAAAACTTGTATAGCACTGATACAAACAGTGGGGACTAGCTCCTTACAAGAACAAGAAAACAACTAGAGAAAATTAAGATAACTCTAGAGGCCTGTTGATTTTCAAAAGTTTTAGGCCAGCCCCTTATACTTTCATTTTCATTCAATTTATGCCTCACTCCCACGATCCACTTCTCCCCTTATGTCATAACCTCCTCATGTCCCTTCAACTCCCCCCAAATCCCACTCTCCATTGATAGCTACCTGCCACGTGTACTCCCTTCTAGCCAAAGTGGCAATAGAAATAATGCAGTATATTGACAGCATGGCAATTCACTCAATCAAAAACCATTTCGACAATTTGCTGAAAATGAAAAGCCACATGACACGTCTCCAAGTAAAAATAAATGATTTTCCTTTATTTAATACATTTCTCTACATTTTACAGAGACATTGCGGTAAACAAGATGGTATATTTTTCAAAATAAGCAGACTTTGCAATTGCAATATGATTATATTATTTTTATATTAGATAGACATTTACCATAAAATTAAATAAAATCTAAATATACACTCTTACTAAAGCCGAGTACCTTTGATTGGTGGAAAATGCTTTTGAAGTTGTTGCCTCCTTTTTCTACATAGGGAAACAAATGAAACAGTTGGTGAAAATTTAACGCCATACTAACAAATGTCAAGCATTGTAACACAAGGATTAGAATTGAGAATACATACCGCCCGCCGTTCCCTATGTTCTGCAAGTAAAATAATATCCTTAATAGGCAATGTTCGAGGATCCAGTTCATCTTCAGGAATTTCCAGCAGAGCCTTGTCCACTATGAAAAAGAAACAATTCCACAATAAGCATCTACAATATAATCACCAGAGACAAAAATTAAACACATTGTCTAAAGTTTACCACATCTTTTTCTCCGTCTGGTTGAATGAGAAAACTTTTTAGGAGGTTCTTTAGTAGTTTTTTCTGAATCATCATTAGCCTTTTTACGCTTTTGAGACGTTTTTGCAGTTTTAGCAACAGATTTCTTCTTTGAACTTGCTGATGCCCTTTTCTTATTGGATGAATAATCCACTTCAAATTCATCATCATTTTCTTCAAGTTCATCTCTATTAGAATCAGAAAGGGGGTCAAGGTCATCCTCATCCTCATTCAACGAGTTGTTGGCAGGTTTGCGACATGCTTGTTTCCTCAGCTGCCTTGAGGTTTTACCATTTTTATCCTCTTCATTAGCAATAGAAGATCTTCTACGCTTCCTTGGAGAACTTGAAATTGTGCCATCTTTTTTTCTCTCATTAGCATCCTGAGAAACATGGTAAATGAAAAACGATCAACAATCAGATCTACAATCAGAAAAGTGAAACATGAAAATATATATATATATATATATATATATATATATATATATTCATGACATATCATAATAAGAGATATTTACTTCTTTTTCCCCAGTAACATCTGCATGCAGAATATCAGCCAATGTGGGACTATCGGCAGCATTTGTCAGTTCTTCATGCACTGGAATTTCAGAAGTTGGGTCTGTGCCAGATTTCATGGATTGATAATCAAAGACATTGTCAACAGGGCTGGCAGGATTCAGGTCCACAACATTCTGAGACCAATAATAACCAAGATCAATTTTATACAAAAAAGATCAATTAATTATTTAGCATATTTGACAGGGAATTATCATATCCTTGTAATCACATAACTTCACCTCTGTTTCTGGCTTTCTATTGTTAGAGTGAGTATCATTCACATTGAGGACTTCAGTTTCATTGAAGGTTAATGAATCTTGGGTGGTGTGATACTCTGGACACGTTTGAACTTGGGCAGTATCACATGCCCCAAAAGAATTAATAGAACTACAAGCTGGAACAACAAAATTTTCCTCTGAACCCTTCTCATTGAAAGAATGAAGAGCTGGTTTTCCTACACACAAAAGATAATTTTTCCAATCACCATTGAAGAAACCAAGGGTCAGGTACTTACAATTGGCTGGAAGCCAGTTAACCATAACAGTGAGATTTAATGGCAGCACATTACAAGTGTATATTTTAGGAATGAAAGCTACAGGAAATCACTCAGTTAATCCCTGTATTTGAGGAATCCTTGTACATCGGTGATTCTGTCCTTCATTACCCTAATTACGCTGACTAGATTTGATTCCTTGTAATCAGTTGTTTCCTTTTATCTAAACACAAACTGTGTATATATTGTAACTATTCATTCTTGGAAATAATAAGATACTATTTTTCACAAGGTATCAAAACCTTAACGACCAAGTGGTCCAAAGTTAGATCCTTGTCTTCCTCATTTTTATAATAAAAAGTGAAATTTCATCATTAGGTTGGTGGACTTGGGCATTGTCAATGCTACGATTCTAAAAGATTCTTCTGAGAGGGGGCATGTTAGAAATATAAGATTTTTTCATGTGTCTTCACCTAACATCTTAAGCTTTTGGAAGAGTTAGTTTGTGATAATGCACAACTTATGACAATGCACAGCTTAAGCTTTAACATTGTATTTCTAACATGTCCCCTCTTATAATAAACCTTTGGGCTTGAAGCATGGACAATGCACATGCCCACATAATTTGTGCTCAAATTTTACTTTTTATTAGAAGAATGGGGGGAGGCAAGGATTTAACTTTAGACCACTTGGTCATAGAGACTTGATACAATATCACAAATCAACTCTCCTAAAAGCTTAAGCTGTAATGTGAAGACACACAAATGATTTTATATAATATTTCTAACAAAAGCTAGTATGAAGAGCTATGGGGAGAGTTGACATAAATTGATAGACTACAAGGCATTTAATAACTCACCTGTATCAGTGGCATTTTGGGTGAGAAAGTAATCAAGGGTTTCCAACCCAGAGAAAATGTCTGCAGTCTGTAGGCACAAAATTGATCAACATTTAGCAAATTAATGAAATTGAAAAAACAACATTAAGTTTTCCTTTACCTCTCCAGCTGATTTACCAAAACTAGAAGGCGAATCTCTACTTCCATTATGAACTGCAACCTCTGAAAGCATAGCATTCAGGGAATCCAGTTGGGAAGGAATTACTGTTGTCAAGCTTCTGTTGTCTTCAGAGACTGGAATATTTGAGCTCATATAATCAGACTTATTGGATAAATTGGCTGAACTAAGAATCTCTGATGTGGGTAAAGGTAAACTGGTGGATTGGTTTAGCCCACCATTGCCATCACCACTAGATTGAAAAGGTTGAACTTCATTTGTGCATGAAGGCAACTCAACAGATTTTTCCATCATAACACTAGATGAAGCAGAAGCAATAATTGTTGTATTGCCTACTCTGGGTCGTGGCTTAATCTTGGGTTGAAACTTACGAGCTACAATAAAAACAAAATACAGATAGTTAACATTTGCAGTAATAGGAAGCATATTCAGACTAGCATCAACATTACTAACCATTCCTAGTGCCAGGATCCGGGAGGGTGTTACTGAAAGGATCCAATCCAAACTCCATAGACACTACCTGAAAAGAATTTCCTCCATAAGTTGATTACAACCATCTGAAGCAGTAGAACTACATGGAAAAAGACACCAAAAATTCAAAATTCTACCTCTTGTTCTCTTGCAAAACTAAAATTGGAATGAATATTGCTATCAAATATTGCATCCTTATTATCTGAAGCAATTTGGAAGCCCACATCTGGGCAAACTTGCAATGAATTATCAATAAGTTCCAAATGTTTGTTGTTATCAAGAAATGAATCTTCCCCAGTTTTTGGTGCATCTTCCATCCTACCTATGGTTGAACAAGATGTAGATGGAGCAGCCACGCTACTCAATTCATTTTCTACAGGATTAGCAGGGTGAACTGATTGTGTTGTGCCTAAACCACATGACAGATATGAAGTGAATCAGATCAAATTGAAGAAAAGAGGCTTCACACACACAAATTATGTTAAAGCATAACTTACCGTTGTTGAGGCTGGACTCAGGAATGGAGTTAGCGACTCGGCCCACATCAAAACCTACAGGATCTGCCTAAAATTGATAAACATTTTAATAAAAAAAAGAAGTTACAAATACTCCATATCATCGAAACCAAATAACAAACAATTAAAAGAAACATTCACCTCACATGCTGATTTTGGAAAGTGTGTAAGATTCCGATCAGCATCGACTTCAGAGGCCGTCATCGTGGAAGGCAGAGCATCAACTAAAGCTGCAGCATCTCCATTTTCACTAACTTGTTGAGGATTTCCCATTTCAGAATTTGTGGCATCCTCCAAATTTGGATGTTCTACCTGTGGACGATGATTAGACCTCGTATGTTCTTCCGCTGACATACTTAAAGTTGAAGCAACTGCATTATGACATTCATTCAAAGAAATTCCTTCTGAGCAGGTAGATGATGAAGTAACAGGCACATTCTTTCCATCTTTAGATGAGGTTGCATGTTCTGATGCAGATATTTCCTTTCGAGGCAGCTGTTTCGGTTTGGCCTTAGGGATAAACTTACCACCCGGCCGAGCTACAAATGAATATAATAAAACCAACTGATATAAACATGATTCAAAAAAAAAAGAAAAAGAAAGAGAAAGCTTTCACAGTATTATTCTTTGAGTGTAGCACTTACCTCGTGCAGGAGGAGCTACAGGTAGAATATCATCAAAAAGATCCATGAACCTAATTAGGTGGACTACAATAGCCTACGTTCCCTTGTATGAAACAAACTTAAAGCTGAAAAACCAAATAAGAATTGTCATTTAAGCAGTAGATTAAGCATACTCAGTACTCACCATAAAGAATTTACATATCAACCCACAAACTTTCGGCAATGAATCATAAAAAGCGAAGTAAACAGTTATACCCTCATCAGAAAGCTTAGATTAAGATATTAAACTTGGAAACAATATATCAATATATTAATTATTAAACAACACATTAGGAACAAAACTTAAGCAGTTCATATATAATTTATAGTTCATACCAGCGTGATTTTGCGTGTTAATTGCCACGAAAAGTTGTGGATGAAAATTGTAAACGTATAACGAACTTGTAGACAGAAAAAGTACGAAAGCTGGGAATAATGCTTCGAATGGAGAAAAGATAAAAGTAAAAACGTAGTTATGCTCTAAGCATCTGAGTGAGGTCGTTCTGACTCGGTCTGTTCTGCATCGCTTGGAGTGGGACACGATCAGATGGAGTTTAACAGCTTAAGACTTTAGGACCAGCAATTGAACAAGTTGGGCTGGCCCAATTGGACGCCGCCTACCTGCAGCGGAGATGGCCCATTTAAGCCCACGTCATGATTAATGGATCCAAACACAGCCAATTTGCTTAGATTCAAAGAATATTACGTTTATTCAACAACAACAACAAAAAGAATATTAAGTTTCACGGTAAAACCAAATATTTTTGAACCGATGATAGCTACAAGTTTTCAAGGAACCACAATTAAATCGGCAATTTTCTATAATAATATATATTTTTTTTTTTGTGAAAAGAAGAGGAAAAGAAAAAGAGAGAGTATTATGGCATAGGAGAGGGGGTAAAAATTCACTTAAAATTATGTCACGGGAAGAAATATTTGTTATTTTTGTGTCATTTCAATTAAAATAACCTTATTTTAATGTATATTTAATTATTTTTTATATTCTCTTTCATTCAGAGAATTAGATAAGAAAGAAAGAGATAATAGCTATCAAAACATATAATATCACTTAAAATGATAAAAATTCATATCATTGACAATGGTAAATATTTGATTATTATTTTTTGGTAAATAAATATTTGTTATTTAATGATAAACACTTTATGTCATTATAAGTGAAATACTCTTATTTTATATATATATATTTAGAGAAAAATGTGTGTCATTTTAAAGGATGTAAAATTGTGTCATTTTAAGAGAGAGAAAAAGATAGATAAAGAAGAAGAAAGAGTTGACAAAAAAATAAAAGTGTGGATCCCACCTCTTTATGAGAATAAAAGGATATAAGTTGTGTCATTTAATAAACACTTTTCCCATATATTTGATAGCTTTTTATATTTTGTCTTCACCACAAAATCATAAGAAGAGATGAAAAGGAAATGGGATAAAGAGATAAAAAGAAAGGGAAAAACTATAGATAAGTTTTTTTTACTATACTTGTACCATTTTTTTTTTATTTTTTTTTATTTTTCAGGTGGTGGAACCCACAAATTTGTTTTTATAATATAAAATAACTTATCTCTTTTAACATGAGATTAATAAAACTCAAAAAGAAAATGGGTTATATATGTAGAGATATCTTTTTATTATGTTGTTGGAGATGCGTTATCTTATATTAATGAAATAAATTTATAAAAAGAATCCACAAATAATTAAAGAGAGAAAAAAATAGAGGTGAAACACATATAACCTTCATTACGTGTGTATAGAAAGATGAGTTATATCATATTGAATAACATAAATATAACTGATATATGAATCAAATTACAAGAAAAAAAAATTCTGCACACACATATAATTGAGATTGACATATTTTATTTTCTCTTTCCTCATTTTACTTTCACTCCCATTTTCTTGTCTACAATGGCAATATGAGAAGTTCTTTTCCGAAGAGAATATAAGGAAGCAGAGAAAAGATAAAAATTCATCAAAACACTATCATTTCCTTAATACGAGATAAAATTATGTCATTTAAAATATAACAATTATTTTTCCCTTATCCTATGATTTTTAGTTGCACTGACACTGAGCTCAAATACACAGCAGATCGGCATAAATTCATCACGTTCATTTCAAATAACTGGCTAACTCGACGATGCACAGGTCAAAGCATGTATGAAGGATTCCATAGGACGTTCATTCCATGATAATTGCAACAAGTGAACGACAAATCAACCATTAAAGATTCTTAAGTTAGGCAAAATGAAACCAAAACTCAAACATTAAAGATTCTTAAAGGCAAAGTGAAACCACGAATCAACCTTTAGACCTCTACCTACGGCGTCGTTTGGACTTAGACTTGTGGCGTTGTGGTGCTGCCGGCGACGGAGAGCGTGGCGGTGGCGTCAGGTCCTCCTAGGGCAAGTCGTAAGATTGAGGGAGCAGCTTTGCATGTCCTTTCACTTGGGCTTGGGCTTCAGGTAATTTTGGCTCTTTAAAAATATTCTCAGAGGTTTTTTTAATTACCGGTTTGAATGGACCGGAACGGTTCATCCATTTCCGGTCCGGTTTTTCAAGCATGTCAAAACCTAGGCGTGGCGTGCTCGTATCGCAGTTACTCTTGGTCACGGTCACTTGGTCCGGTGGTCCCCCTTCATCTTCAACCTCAGGTGTTCTCTGCCTCTGAGGTCAACACTGCACAACGCTTTAGGTGAGTGTTTGTAGCTTTAATTTGTCTAACTTTCTATTCATCTGCTTCGGTGTTGATTGCTAGCATATCGGGGGAGCTAATTTATTAATTTTTTGTTTGTTTTGTTTTGAGTAGCGGTTATGGCTTCTTAAATTTCTCAGGTTCGTTCTCTTTCCGAATGACTCATGAAATAAATTAAAAAAAAAAAGAAACTATTATTATCTTGGCAAGTTAGAATCCACTGCAGGATTTGACAAAATAGGTCTTATCAAATTATCCGCTTAGGACTAAATCATTTTTATAGAAAATTGTTAATTTATCCAGTTTCACTAATATGCGTTATTCATGTGTGTGGTTTTTGATTCCAGTTGTTGGATTGTGTGTGCGTTTTGTGTTTGGAGTTTGGTGGCCTATTATCTTTTTCTTACCTTTTTGTTGTTCTTTGATATTATCTTATGTTGATTTCTGAAGCTGATGGTTGGCCTATAGGTAAGCAACTTACTAAGATGGGAACACAGCCCCAGCAAAGATGTCGGGAGGAAGAGGAGGAGGAGATGCCAGGTCGTGGAACTACGCTCTCTGGTCAGTCAATGTCAACAAGCAGAAGTGTTGGCTCGCCGTCCAGCCGGAGTGAACAGACAATGGCAACGCCATCTAGTGATAACACTTGTCTTAGATTAAACCATCTTGACATACATGGTGATGATGCTGGATCACAGGGCGCAGTTGCGTGAGTTCTCTATATTTTTTGAGCTTGTTGTATATGTATAATCCATGTGATGCAGATGCAATTTGACTTGTTGATTTTCTTTTTGAATTTGTGGCAGTTTGACATTTTCCCATGAATATTTTATTTAAAATGAACATTGATTCAGGTTCTTTTTTTTTTTTGAAACAATAAATTTATTAAATGCTTAATGAGACAAATTTTCTTGAAGATCAAATTAGAAAAGGAAAATTTGTTAAGGGCATGCACTCACTGGGAAGATCTCTCTCATGAAATATCTTTTACATTTCCATGAGGATCCGTTTAATAGTTTAATAACCTGGATTGCAGCATATATATTAGAGTTTTCTCTTTTAGCAATCTTAATCATTAAGATTCAGCATTTCTTCTCTTTCACTTTTTAAGAGAATCCTCTTGATGGAAGAATTAGGCCTTAGATTTTTTGAGAGAATGAGAGCATTTTAATTTTTGTTTTTTTCATTTTTATCTGTAAACCTAGTTAAAGATTTGCCATCCTCTCCAGTTGCATTTTGAATGTCAAATTCTCTCTAAGATTAAGGCTTTTGCAGTAGTCTCTCAAATGTAAAAAATGTGAAAAAATGTTCTGCTGTATGAAGTTATTTGCTCTGGATGTATGTGGTATGTGTCTGTAAGTTTGCTACACAGTCAGGTGTTCATCTTTTTTTGATTTGTTTGTAACTAGTTTACCAAATATGGCATACCGTGGATTTACCCAAAATTGCTTGAGGATTTGTATCATTGATGTAGTTTAGATTTTAGAATTTGTGGCAAAAATTGCAAAAGAAGGTTCTTTGATTTTTTGCTTGCGTTCAGTGGTCTAGTGTGTATTGTTGGAAGGTGATCCTGGGATTTTAAAGATTTTTATTTGTCTTTGCATCTGTTTCTTGATAGGGAAGGTTTTTTTTTTGTTTTGTCTTATATTTTGAGTATGCTTGTGAGATTTTCTGAGAGGCTTCTTTATTAGTTACACAGAGGGATTGAACAACACTTTTATACTTAGCTTAGATTTTTTTTTTTAAATAAAATTTTGGCATGAAATATTAGTCATTTTTTTGTGCTCGTTATTGTTCTTTTATTTTCTACTAAAAACTTCCTTTTATTAGGTTTTTTAAAAAGACTTTGTTTTTGGATGAGGTATTGGCATGAAATGCTATCTATTACTTGCAAGTGTCAATTATCTGCTTGCGGTTTCACAATTCTGTTAAATGCCACTTTGATTTTTTATTTTTTGTTTTGGTTGATTCTTACCCATTATGAATTTTCAAATAGAAGCAAGAAGAAAAAGAGAGGCCAACGTGCTGTTGGAGGGGATAAGAGTGGAAGAGGGCTCCGCCAATTTAGTATGAAAGGTCTTTAATCTATCCCAATTTGACCAGTTTGTTCTTTAAATAATAAGGTTTACTGACCTTTTCTAGTTATTAACTTCTGCTTTTTAAAGTTGCAATTAGTGTGTTTGCCGAATATGAGAAGCTAAATCCAATATTTGCAGAAGTGATTTTTAGATGCTGCTGCTCCCCAGATTGACATTATTTTTGTTGGGGTCATGCTGATACTTTTCTTACTGGTATTGTTTCTCATTTATTGTTGGTTGTGTCCAGTGTGTGAGAAGGTGGAAAGCAAGGGAAGAACAACTTATAACGAGGTTAGGAAGTTATTCTAAGTCAGTTTTTGCTAAACTGAAATGAAACTTACCTTGGCTTCAGTTTTATATACCAGAGTATATGCACATAAGTATGAATATATATCATATAACATTCGTGTTTTTCAATAAATTTCTTAGTATATTTTTTGTCAGTTTTTGAAGAACGTCACTTTTTTTTTTAAAAAGAAAAAACTGCGCTTAGAATTTCCTGAGTTTATATTCATTTTGCTTTATTCTTCTTATTTTCTTGTTTATGAAGCATGGCCATGATCTATATGAGTTGCAGTCTAACAACTACTCTAACACAGTCTTTGACTTGTTACATTCCTATAAGATATTTTCATTTAGAATTCTTCTAGAACAGCCTGTGCTTTATTTATGTTTCTTTTCTGTTTCTGTTGTTAAAGAGAAGCCTATATGTTGATGATGCAATATAATTTCAGAGAGGAAGACATAGGCCATAGGGTAATATAATTTCAAGGTGAATTTATCTTCTCACAGTTTTTATGTTGATAAGATTTTCCAAAAGTTGGAAGTTCTAAACTCTTGGTACTTTCAGTACTTCTGAGAAAATATGGAGGCATATTGATGCCACACTATGAAAAATGACATGCCTGAGACTCTTGTTATAGATTCATTAGATTGGAGAAAAGATATGGCATGGGAGCTGAGCTAGTTAGAAGTTTGATCAATGTAGTGTAGGAGCTGAGGTTGCTTTGATGTTATATCACATCCTACATTGTATCTTTTTCATATCAAATTAACATTATTTGCTATAGCGAAATGATTGTTGGTTTTATTGTGAGGAATTGTGTCTGAAGACAGGCACTCTAAACCTAAAAAAACTAGTGAAAATATATGTGTATTTAGGTCTTTCTTTGTAATACAACTTGTTACACAAATTCTGGTTTTAATTCCTCAAATATATAGTTCACTCCTTTTGACTAACTACATATTCCTAATTTATTTTTTAAATTTAATGTGGATTGTGGTACTTATATTATAGGTAGCAGATGAACTTGTGGCTGAATTTGCTGATCCAAGCAATAGTGTTTCTTCCCCTGATCAGGTTTGCTCTTCTTTATATAAATATAATTTCAATTCTATCTGCTACTTGCATATTGAAGCTGTAAGATAAATAGTGGGGACTTATGCTTTTTGGGGTTAAAATTTGACAGCAACAATATGATGAGAAAAACATTCGTCGAAGGGTCTATGATGCTTTGAATGTTCTCATGGCAATGGATATTATTTCTAAGGATAAAAAAGAAATACAATGGAAGGGTCTTCCTCGTACTAGTCTGAATGATATTGAAGAACTAAAGGTTTGCAAACTGCCTTGAGTTGTAATTTTTTCCCCTCTAAGTGGCTTATTCTTTCCCTACAGTTATGTTCTCAGCTTATCCAAAAATACAGTGAAGGATCATTTTAACTAGTATAATTGATAACAGACGGAGCGTCTTGGGCTGAGGAATAGAATTGAAAAGAAAGCAGCCTATTTGCAAGAACTGGAGGAACAAGTAAGGATCACTGGTTCTAGTGGATTTAATCTGGGAATGAATTCCTGGACCTGGTTTGCAAGCCCAAGGAATTTTATTGTTTTTCTATTTGAAATTTGTACTTGGTTATAAGAAGGCCCTGACAAATGATTTTTGTTACATAATGATTTGTTTCTGTTTGCTAACTTATTGTATTATTTTATCAAGTACATAGGTCTTCAGCACCTTATACAACGAAATGAACAATTATATAGCTCAGGAAATGTTCCCAATGGAGTATATTTGCCTTTTATTCTGGTGCAGGTACACTATTATCTCATGATATCCTATTTTTGGTTAGTTTGTCCACTAGAAATTGATTCTCAATTTTGCCTGTTGATCTTCAATGTGTACTGTAATTCTTATATTTAATTGGTCCCAAGTTCATAGTCGATGGTCAGCATTTAGTAATTAGTTGGCTTGAAATATAGATTACAATCTATTATTACGAGATGAGACCTCACTTCAGCTTCTTAGGTAAATTCAGTAGAAATATTTTTTCAGCTTGTGGACATTCGTTAGAATTTGTCGACTGAATTGCTATAGTTATTATATAGTATATTGTAGAGGGATATTATCCGTTTAAACTGTTGAGTTCACTTTACTCAGGTAATGTTGGGCACTTTGTCTGCTCTAGGCTATGTACTGGGTCTATAGTTATGGGTCTCTTGGGAGGATTCATGATAATAGTTCTAAGAAGGTTGCAAACTCGTTAATGTTAAAATAAAAAAAATAAAAAAGTAAGGAAGAAATTAAAGAAATATATGTAAAGCATTGAATTTCAAATTGGTGTGATGTAGCTTTTAATGGTTTTACTTTTTAATTAATATCATTTATGGCTTTTAATATCAATTAGATTGGCGTATGTTTTGTTTTTAGATGAAATGGAGGAAATCTTTTAGTATTGTGCAGGTGGACCCGTTATTTCCTGTTTTCCATACGGTCCTTTTTAGTCTTTTTTTTCCTATATTTTTTTATTTATTCTCTTGTTTTTGTTTTTCCTCAATCCTTTCATGCTTTTTGTTTGGATTCGTATATTGTCGATCCCAATTAGTTTGAGATAAAGGTTACATTGATGTTAATGATCATGTCTGGCTTTTGGAAATTGTAGACACGCCCCCATGCTACTGTTGAATTGGAAATATCAGAAGATATGCAGCTTGTGCATTTTGATTTCAATAGGTAAGAAGAAGGCTTCAACTATTTGGCATTCTTTCTGAAAGAGTAATGATCGTATTATCTTGTCAGTATGCTGTCTTAATGTGAAGATTTCCTAATTCACTAATGCCATATAGTCATGTTACCAAAAAAAAAAAAAAACTAATGTCATATAGTCCAGCACCAGTGTATCCTATTTTGGTCAAACAGAGGTTGTGTCGAGGAATGTATCTGCCACATCGGTAGCATCTTCTCTATTAAACTTTCTATTGTTCGAAATCTTTTTCAATTGATGCTTAGCTTATTCTTCTCTTTCTCTGCAGCACTCCTTTTGAGCTGCATGATGACAGCTATGTTCTCAAGGCAATGGAATTTTGTCCGAGACTTCAGAATGATAATATAACACACAATCCTACAGAGGGAGGCGAAGGTTCTAGCATGTCAGGCTTGTATCAAGCACAGGTTCCTACCTTAGTTTCAAACCCGTCAGTTAGGCTTCCTTCATCACCTCCACTCCCTGGAATATTAAAGGCAAGAGTTAAGAATGAGCATTAATCTGCAATTTTGTTGTATGGTCTTATTACCTTTTTTAGGCATGTTTGTATATTTTGTAAAGTAATTTGCTGGCAATTAATTGTCCTTCATAGTTGTTACTCCATCAGTACAGCTAAGTCACTCTGAAATAGGTTAGAAGCAAATCGTTCTGCTTGCTTCTCTCTATTCTTATGGGTTGATTTTGGCAAATTCTTCGCTAACCATATCCACTATTCACTACCGTAACTTTGTTCCCCCTGCATTTTCTCTGTATTTGCCCTGTTGTAGTTATAATAGAGAAATTGGTTTGTACTAGTCCATAGAGATGACGGAATGCTATTCACCAGCAAAGGATTAATTTTGGAAACCACTGGTTTAGTGTAAATTGTTCCATCTTATGTCGATCTTGGGGTATTTGGGCAAATGCATCTTATCTTACTGGTCTTTCAGTGTTTCCTTTTGTGCCCTTTATGCCCTGCGCATTTTATTCAATACACTATTCTTTTGGACGGCTGTCAGCATAGTAATTTACGTATTTCTAATTTAAGTGGTTAGTTTGTTTGTAGAATCTTGTGCATTGGCGGTATTTCTTTTTAATTTAAGTGGGCGGTTTCATTTTTATTGGGGGTACATGTTTATGATCAAATATCCACTCATTTCCGCAATGATCTACTAGGAAACAATACAAGTGAATTTTTTTTTTTCTTGAAAAGATCTACTGGAAAAACAAAATGTTGCTTTTTAATTCAAGATAATGCCTTAATTCCTTGAGCATGCTAAAATCCTGACTTTTCAACAAATCAATTGTAAGTTATGTTATTTGAAAATAACTAATTTTTTATTCTGATTTTTTTTTTTTAAAATACGTTGTTGTAATAAACTTTTCTTAATTTCCGAACTCTTTAATCCAACATGCGCATTGGCTTCAGTTTCAAATATCTTTCTCCCTTTCCAAAACTACTTCTGTAACCCTTTTCATGAGTTTGACTTCATCTTTAGTTTTGCACCAAAGAAATGTAATGCTAGTCAGCAGAATGTAACTAGAAATGGCCTTTCTAATTTGCTGGGTATTCTTGCGGTTCATCCCCATTTTAATTGTTACGATTTCATGCTGTAATACTGAGACTAGAATCCTCTCATCAAAACCTTTTGCAATTACGACTTCTCTCATTTCTTAATTTCTTTTTATTTGAATTTATCTTAAAAAAAAAAGGTTTTGCATGAGAAACCAATAAATTTACATGACTTGAACCAGAACCAGGGAATATATATATATATATATATAAGATCAATTTATACCAGTATAAGAATAATAAGTCTTACATTAAATTTTAACTGTTAATAGTTATGATTTCTTAAAATTAATAAATATAACTTAATAAATCACAACCGTTAAATTCATAAAAATAACGGTTTAATTTTAATGTAAGACTTATTATTTTTATACTGGTGTAAGTTTATTCTGTCATATATATATATATATATATATAACACTTTCCAAGGTCCTCAACAGTAGCTTATTTTCATTTGTTTCCCAACTAATCCGATTCGGGGCGAGTCCAGGATTAAAGCTTTAAACCCTCCCAAATGTGGTACTGGGGAAATTTAAACACATGCTCTAATCCACACCTGCTTAGCTCCCATGTGCCAACTGAGCTACCTACCACCATTTGGTTAATTAATTTCAATCTTTAGGTACTCTTATCTTGCTGAGCTATTTATCTTTATTAATTATTAGATTATTATATATAATACATTTTTTAATAAAAAAATATTTCATTTAAGGAAAATACTTTTCTTATGTTGTAGGAAAAAATTATCTCATGTTATAGAAATAAAATTATAAGTGGGATCCACCAGTAAAAGGAGAGAGAAAAAAGAGTGATGAGACCCGATTTGTGTGTGTGTGTAAAAAAATTGTTTAAACGAGATAAACATAACCCTTCATTTTAATGAACTTTACATTTACTGTGTGAATAACTAATCATTGAATGTTTAATAAGAGTTTTCATACAGACTAGTAACTTCAATTTATTTACGTGCAAAGGGTGGTACTTGAACTGCAAATTATGGTCAGCAGCAAAGGAGAACAATCGACTAGAGATAGAAAAACCTATCATGAAATTAAATAAATAAAACAACTTGGTGTTGTACCACTTCTATGCGGAAGGTCCAAGTCACATGACATCCGAATTACATAAGAATAAATGATGTAGTATTATTTGTACGTAAGATAAGGAAAACAAGAGCTTGGTACAAAGGAAGCCTGTTCCTGCTTGATCTGCAGTCATTTGATGTCATGAGAAGGATATATGATTTATAAAAAGTCATTGCCCCATTAAACCAAACCCAGACTAGCAGGTAGGGGTGAGGGCTATTATATATGATTTATGAATATTGAAAAATGATTATCATTAGTAGTAAATGAAACCCAACCATGATAATATTCAAAAATCTCCCCATCGGTTGGGGACAATTAAATGTGAAGGAATAACAACAGCATGCCCACACAACAAAATTTCTTCAGTCTCTACAAACACTCTCATGCGCTAGCTTTATCAGTAGCTGCCAAATTTCTTCTCTGTTGATGCTCTGCAACTTTATAATCTACCACTTCACAAAATAAGGTTTGGTCAAGCACACAATTCTTGCTGCCGTACACAGCAGCTTGTACACTTGCCATCAGTTTTGCTATTTCCCTTCCAGAAAATCCATCAGTCTTAGCTGCTGCTTCCTTTATGATATCATCAGTCAATCCCTTAATCTCTATCTGCTGTTGTTTTCCTTTGAACAAATTTTGAACCAAACCAGATTTTACTGATCCAGCCTGAGCTATGTACTTGTCAAGATAGAGCTTAAGAAGTTTAAAGCGCTCCCCTTCCCCAGGCAAGGGGAATTCCAAGACCTCATCGATACGATCTGACACCGCTGAATCAAGATCACCGGGCCGGTTTGTCGCAAGAGCAAGAACTATGTCTTTAGACTGGTCACCGGTACGGAAGAGAAGGGCATTTAGTGCACTTCTTTGAGCTTCACTCATATAGGTCTTGTTCCGCCTGCAAAGTTCATCCAACACAATCAACCCACATTTTCAAATAAATTCCAGGAACTATGTTTTTTCCCCTCCTCTATTAATACTGTGGATCATCAATATATGCTTGGCAAAAATAATGATGAGACAAAATGATACAAGAAAATCATGTTTTGAATAGCATTTGATCTTATTCCCATGGCTTTCAACTGATAACGCCAATTTTTTGTTTCATACATAATATTGATGTATCATCTGATGCAAATACTTCTACACGAGAAAAAATGAAGCATAATAAATGAGTGATCATGGACAAGAATTAAACTTACTCGCACAGAAATGCATCAGCTTCGTCAATGAAAAGTAATAAACCCTTTTTTGATTTCTTCGCCCAATCAAACAACTGGTGTATTTTTGTAACAGCTTGTGACCCTAGTGGAGCAACATCTCCTCCAGTCATCAACGCATAATCTAATCCCTGCATAAAATAAAAAAGAAAAAATGGGGAAAAAATGTGAGCACAAAAAGCCAACTGAATTGAACTGTAGTTTGTTTGGTGTTAATAAACTGCAACAATCCGATGGCAATGAATATCCATTTTCAGTGATTCCTAAATTCCAATATTTAGAAATTCAGCAAAAAAATATGAACATAAGGTAAAGGAAGCAAAAAATAAATCTATCAAGCCTTCAAAACAGATAAACTTGATTTAAAAAAAAAAAACTCAAAAATATAAAGATAATTAGCTAATATGTTTGTACCTGCACCATTATAATATACAAACCATCATAAAATTTAAACTTTTCCTTGAAATGGGTGAAAGCTAAACCTAAGAACTTGTAGTTATGTGACTGATGGACTAGGAAAGTTATAGTATACGATACTTGAAAAATGAAAAATTAGAATAGCACCACGAAAAGAGAAGTACAATCTCATACCGATTTGCGAGCCAACTCTCTAGCAGCCATTGTCTTTCCTGTTCCCGGAGGGCCATAAAAAAGCATGTTTCTGAATGGTGCCTGATGTGCTTTTGTATTTGCAGTTGCAGATGCCAGCTGCTCAATTCTTTTATTGAGAGAAGGATGCAAAATCACATCACCAAAACCGTTTCCATTTTTGGAAGCAGATGCTGTATCAGTACGACGAGAAAGGGAGCTCATGGCTCGAGAAAACATGCCAGACCAGGGGTATTTCCCTCTGGAGGACTCTCGAATCAATGATGGTTGTCCCAATATTCTATCCACATATCCCCACATAACTCGTGCACCTTCCCTTCATTAGAACAATTATACTAGTGTAAGCCATTACTTCCCTGACAGCAGCTTAAAAGCATTACCCAAAGTCCAATATGAAATATAAATTATGCAACTTTAGCATGCAAATGATTAAAAAGCACTTTCCATGAAAGATAAGAAATAGATTGATATAGTAAGGAGAAAAAAAGGTACTTTAGTATTTATTTCATCCAGAGAGTATTTATATCTACTACCAACAGATGTTGAAACACATTTCGTGATACTATAAATTGAAGCTTCAAACAATTCCAAAGGAAGGAAACATGTATTGTAGCTAAACATGAGATTTCCCTCATGTTTTTCAAGGAGGCTGCATAGTACCCATTGGGTAGTACACAATCAATATCAGTACAACAGCAAAAGTCCTTATCTAAAATACATAAAGTAGTATTATGCTTCCACGGACAGGTTTTATTGGCTTGATCATAAGTATGCTGAGATCATGGAAATGATATATATATCCTCCAGGTGATAGGTTTTTAACTAAACACTGATGTTTTGAACATGTTTTGAAACCATGCATGTAGAATTTGTTTTTCTATATTTATTTTGAAGGCAAGATATTCTTGGCAGGAAGAACATCCTCTCGTGTTAGACAAACTACATTTTGAAAGCTAATATGACATCGCAACATTCTAGTCGTGGTTCAAAACATTGTCAGTGTCAGACATTAATGGACCTGATGCTTGCCTCCAAGTCCATTAAATGATGAAAGCAGGGACAGAATCCATTAATCAAAAGCATTCAGTGGAACGGAATGAGTAGTTTGGACTGTGTTTAAGAACATAATAAAACAAAAAAGCTTGGTAGAAAAATGTCATCAATAATTGGACAATGGACACAGAATAGCAAGGCATGTCATGCTAAATAATATTTTGAATGCAAGCGTAAAGGAGTTCCGCAAAGGTTTACTTAGCAGCCAATGACAAACTATGTGAACAAAGTATACCTTGTTGTGTAGACCCCAGCTGCTAGAGCAGTCACTCCGCCAACTGCTACAACCATCTTATTTTGATCTGTTAGAATGGCTCTTAAGCCCCCTGCAAAAGATAAATCAACTTATGGACTACAATGGAGTTCATCTAATACCAATCAAGCAAAACACATAATTGAATATACACAACTCGCATCAAGTTGACCTTTCTTAGTTTAGGCACAGAATGATGTGGTCTATACATTTACAATTAGCACACACAAATATAAAGATCGGTGCCTTACACACTGCATACCGTCAGCCTATCAAGTAGATAGAGTTATACCTCCAACATGTTCAAAAGTAGTATTTATGGCAGCAACCCATTTTTCTCTCTCTGCATTAGCACGATCAACTAACATTCGCCTGTTAACCTCTTCAGCTAGCTTTGCTTCAAGGGCTCTTCCCTCTGCTTCTGCCATAGCCCTTACTCTGATGGTTTCACGTTCAATCTCAGCCTTCTCTCTTTCAGTTTGCCTTCGCTGAGCTTGAATCTGTTCTTCGGTTGCTCGTCGAGCTTGCTCTTGTCGTACCGACGATTCTTCTTGCAGTTTAACTAGCTCTTGGTTCCTGGCTCTCTGGTATTCATTTTCTGCCTGATAATATATTTGCAAGAGTGATAATCAGTTCATAAAAGAGAAAACCCGAGTGTCCAAGGCTTCTCGACTTTGCAAGTGCAAGAGTGGTGGTCAATTGTACATAGCATTATCCTTATATTTTGTAAAAAGATCATTTCCAGGCTCAAGCCTGTGACTTACTGATGCTCCAAGGCTCAATCAGTCCATAGAATAACAAATTAACAAAAAAAAAGGTCTGATTTGAAAAAGTTAAAGACCTGCATTCTCTTCCTTGCCAACTCATCCTCATACTTAGCCATTTGGGATTTTGTTTGAGCCTGATGCTGGGCAAGCTTTTTTTGTTCATCATATATAATCCGTTGTCTTTCCTGTAAAGCAATTGATATATCAGACTAAGATATAAAACACATAACATGCTGAGACAACACAGTAAAAAATGTCATGCAGGTTTCATCCAGAAAAAAACAACTTACGGTTTCATGTTGTGCTTGCATTTGTTTAAACTCAGCAACCTTTGCAGCCAATTCAGTTTGCTTGGTTTCCTCTCGCTTTTTTATAAATTCAAAGACCTTTTAAGAGATAGAAACAAAGTCAAATTCATCAGAATTCAAAAATAAGAAAACCCCTTGTGGGTTAGTAGCACCCATTAATGGGAAACAATAAAGTTGAAACCTTTTTGCCGTGTGTGGAAGTGTTGACTTGATTGAGCGCCCTGACGCCTCTCTCCAGCGCCTCAGGGTCAAAACCAGCAGAGGTGGTCCTTGGGTGATCGTTTCGAACCCTCGGCGGTGGCGGAGTGTGGTTTTCCTCGGGTGGTGGTTTCGAACCGTCATCAGAAGAGGAAGATGGAAGAGTTGAGAAGGAAGGAATAGTGAAAGAGCCATCAGCATAAGCATTTTGGGAAAAGGATGCAGCAGCCATGGCTGAGAGCAATCCCAAAGTATATGTTTTTCCCATTCTAATAATTCTATAGTTCTTTGATGATTCCAATCGAAAATGAAACAAAAACAAAACAATTCAACAATGAAGACACTGACAAGTTCAATTCAGGGTTTTAGTAGGGTTTTCTGCTTACCGACCCCATTTAGTGTGGAGGGTTTAATAACAAAAATAAAAATAATATACAACTGGGGTCTCAAGATTTATGAAAGTTTTTTGGGTAGAAATGTTTCCACTGTTTGTGTATTTAGTTAAAATATAAAAATTTAATTTAAATATTTCTCTGAAAAAATGACAAGTATTATTTTTAACTTTTCTTTTTAAAAAAAATTAGTTTTTTTTTTTCAAACTAATTATGCATGTCTTCGTAATTTTTTACATTTTCTGTCTTAATATTTCAATTTACTTTCTAAATTTTACTTAAAATTTAAGGTATTCATGTAATACATGAGATATTTGCTAGTTATTTGAACTTCATGATTATTCTTGTACTATTTTTTTTCTCATAGTGACATGATTGTGGATTATCTTATTAATTGACTCCCCCTTAAATGGCCTAACATATTGTATTCATAAATTTAGCGCATAAATTATTTGTTACATTTTATTTATCTGTTTTTCATAACAATTATTTTTTTTTTTTTTTGAAGTTACAAGGAATTGAACACAACACCCTACACTACACACACTCTTAACACACACACCCCACACCACTAGGCTAACCCTAGTGGTATAACAATTATTTTCTCTTGTTTAATCAAAGTTCAGATTTATTATTTGTGAAATAATTTTTTTTTATAATAGGTTAATACACTAATGTATAATTATTAATGGCAGAAAAAAAATTTGATTATTTTATTATCATTCGCAGCGAACGAAATATCTTTACAATGAACTAATTAAATTAGATAGTGTTAGAAGACAAGGCCTCGCATCAACAACGAAACGAGTTGTCGGTTTTAAGAGTTTGAGAGGAATTGAGGGGACGTTTAGTAGGAGAATTTTTTTTAGAATCCCAGAAAATTAGTTTTGAGAATTCTATTTACTTACGATTGGTACAAGATTTGCAAAAAAAAATTCAGAAAAATCAGAATCGCGGCATTACATTTTGTGAAGGAATATGCCAACTCAAAATATCACAGGATGTGTGGTATTTTGAGATTCCCAACCGGTGGGAATGTTTCTTGATTTTTTTGGGCATAACTGTAAAGAACTTTGAGATACACCACCCCAAAAAATTAACTCAAAAAGTGGAAATGCCCAAGGCCTTATAAACTCACGCCCCCTCACACAAGAGCCACCAATGTGAAACTATATATCTCAACACGCCCCCTCACACAAGAGCCTCCACATTCCTTCACATTAGTTGTGTGTGCAACCAACGTGGGACTATATACCTCACACAAAAGTCTATTGGGCTTGAAGAGTGGACAATGATGCAACACACTCAGCTTACCTGTGTTAAGAAACGTGGCGAAGCTCTGATACCATGTAAAGAACTTTGAGAAACACCACTCCAAAAACTAGCTCAAAGGGTGAGAGTGTCCAAAGCCTTATAAACTCCACATTAGTTGCACATACAACCAACGCAGGAGATATATCTCAATAATAACTGGTTCCTCTCGTGACCCTTAATTAGCTAAGGTACTTGCACTGACGCTGGTTGTTACGAGGCTTCTATCCTTGAGGGAGTCCTGTCCACTGTCGTTTTTAAATTTATTACACTTCTAACACAAAATAGTCACACTACTGTACACGACATCAATCCATGTGGCTATGCATTTTTGGTTGAAGGAGTGAAGGAGCTACAACTTCGTCTCCACTGTCCACAGAATCACAGATATTTGAACTTGCAGAGGACAATGTTTTCTGTGGTGGTGGATTGGTCAGTGAGAGAATGTAGTCAATGATGATGGTTGGGTCTTTTAGTAAACCTATGGAGTTGGATTTAGTTTAGTAAAATCACTCTTCCAGTGTAATATTTAATAATCAACCACACATAGATAGCATTAGAAAAATTGATTCAAAATTCTTGAAAATATTTTGTCCTACCAAATAGCTTTTTAATAACATTTCCGCAAAATTTACTTCTCTATTATATTCCTGAGAATCGTGATTTTCAAGGGAAAAAAAAAATTTGCTCTACCAAACGCTCCACAGATGTCAAATGTAAAATGAGGTAATTCAGGAGACAACTAACAAACGTGTTCAAGTCTAGAAACAGGAACAAGGGACAGCTATTTCCAAGATATCTCATTCACATAGCAAAGATAATAAAAAGAGCCATTCAAGTCTCAGAAGATTATCAAGCAAAAGAGAGAGCATCACAGGCAAGAAGAGATCAATTATGAAGATGGACAAGCAATGTCTCTCCTGCTGCTGGCTATGATTTACTAAGTTCCAGATATCAAAGTTGGTTAGCATAAAGAACAAAATTCTTACTATGGCTGTAATATTTCATCTGGCCCAGTTTCAGGTTATCACAGGTAGGTATGTAACTGTTGGTTATGATTTTCCAGAATTGGTCATCACAACAATACGGATTAAAAGATGAGATTCTTCGTCTACAATATTGTGTTTACATGTGCATCACATCACATTCTGATGCAGATGTAAGCACATTCATAGGCATGGAAAAAGTGATATTGATGTTGATATGCAGCACATTCACAGGTTTAGCAACTGCATGAAGTACTCAAGAGATCAAAGCTACCTAACTACTGACAAGAATGAAAGGATCAGCCTTCGCTCCTTGAGGTTTGGCTATCTCGTAGTTCAGGAAAATGCCTGACAGTATTTGATGGTTGTCCAAATATTGTATTCACACACATATCCCGTGAATCACTGTAGCACGTTGAACCGGAAGACATAGAAAGCCACCTTTTGGATGTGGGAAGAAGGTAATCTAGATTATCATTTTTTTTTATCCAGTCTCCCCAACCCCAAACACAATAAAACAGAAGGGTCGCTGTGGCACTTTGCTAAACAAGTATATTTATTTGTTAGAAAAAATTTATGATATCCTTTTTGCAGTAGGTTCTAGCTTCACAACCGTAAGTATGCAAGAATGATAAAATTTGTAGTCTCCAAATCAAACTATACAACATGGTATACACATGTTCAGAACAACATTGACTTTTTCATGGCTTCTTCATTTTTTTCTTTTCATTACACCATATTTTCTTCAAAGAGAGAACAGACATTGATCAAAGATAAGAAAATCAACAACAGATTAAGGCATATTTGGCAAATCCATCCCTGCACCACGACCATATATTGATGGCAGGAGCCATTGAAGGAAGCCGACATTAGTTTCCCCTTTTGATCTTTTTGTTGAGTACTCAATTAGCATGTTCCATAGGTCCCCAACTGTCCATCTCTGTGACAAAATCCAACGAGCAACCTGCAACAAATCAACTATAGTCCCTCGTAAGCAAGAAAAAGTCCAAGTTATGTGGAAATGTTTCTGGCAGTTGGTTAAATGAAGATAATTGGTTCACGGATGGCATTACCACTAATTACAGCGAAATGAGTTAGGAAGGAGCCAATGCAGATAATGGGGATATTCACTTGTAAAAGACCACAAAGAAATAGGAAACTTAAGCTAATGAGAATCTTGAAATCTAAGCTTAGCTCGTCGTTAGGAATGTGATAAGGGAAACGGCTGGAATAATGGAAGAGGTGGTTTGTTAGTTCTAATATGACAGCTGGACAGTTAGTTAGAAGCAGCTTTAACTGAACCGGAAGGAAGAGAAGGGGAGTTGTAAGGTATAATAAGGAATAGATGATGATTGGAATTAGTATTCTGTTGTTGAGAGATATTGGGAGGGAGAGTACCAGGTCCCTCATACCTGGAGAGATTGAGAGAGAATCCTACTTTTGTACCATTCTTGATCTTTGTTTGTATCTCATTGATACTGACCAGTGTGTTTTTTTCTGTAATAAAGATTCATTGTTCTACCTAGTTCTGATCCAGTTCTATCACTCATCCAATTCTGTTTATGTCACTTTAATCTGAATGCAAATATCAGATTGGATAGGTACAGCAATATCAGCTATATAATATTGTATGATCATAGGGAAAAAATGCTCAACATTCGAATGTGAAATAAGAAAAACCAATAATAATATTTTCAATGCAGATTCCTAACAGGAATGCCATCGATCACGTGTCAAGATTATGCCACTAAGAACGAAAGGTCAAGTTACCTTGTCTAGGTTCTGCAATGCTTCCAAGCCAAAAGTGTAGTATGCTATGAAAGGTCTACGAGCCTGTGAAACAAGACAACATTTAAGGTCTTCAAGCATGAAAGGTCAAAGGTAAGCAGTTCAACAGTCTAGTACTACAGTTGCTGCTGTCAACTCAAGAAACCCAAAAAATTTCCTTTTGTTTTGCACTGCAGTTTCCTAGTATATAATACCTTTTATGAAATAAACAAAAAAATGAATCAAGAGGCACCAACAACCATTGGTTCAAGTAGCAAGAAGCTTATTCCCCTTAACCAGACATCTCAAATTTGAGTCCTGGGAATGGAGAAAATGGTATCGGGAGAGCTGCTCCCAATATGAATCCGATGGTGCTCGAACCGGATTAAATACTAAAAAAAATAAAATGAAACAAGAGGCTAAATATTTAATTGTTCAGTAAATCTCCAATATTTCACTTTCATCAATCTTTTCATATATGCTGATTTTTGTGGTCCTCCAGCCATCAAAATTACAATGTTCAAATCACATCAGTGATCATCCATCCGAAAAAATAAAAATAAAATTTCTCAGATGGAAAATAGCAAACAATCTGTACGACCTCCTCAGCATTCACAATAAGAATGCATAAAAAATCTACCATGTAAAAGAGCCAAAACAAAGGCAAATATTTGAACATAGGAAAACTATGCAGATTGTTCGACAACTCTCTCTCTCTCATTGTAGGTAGTTATTGGAGCGAGAAGATGCCTATATGCCTACTTAACCATAGAAATGTTTCAAGTTTCATTGAAAAGAATAAATATTGCATAGATGACATGGAATATAAATGTGTAAACATAAACACTTTCAACTTATTTCGATAACTACACAATGACAACTGCTAAATACTCATATGTTGATGGCTGAAAATATAAAATTACCTGAGAAGCTGCAAGCCACTGAATTATGGTCTTCACTTCAGGATCTCCTCCAAAAGCACCACATCCCCAGTTTCCAGTTGCAACCCCAAAATCATTGCCCCGCTCCATTCTATGGTAATCATTTTGAGAATTTCTGATATCGGGATTTAAAATCTTTCCTTCACATGTTTCCATATATGTTGAGGTGGAAGCATCAAACTGTGAAGAAGCAAAGATTGTTAAAATATATATAAATGAACAAAGATCAATGCAGATGGCAGACATAGTTAGATACTTGGATCCCCATGAAAAAAAGTATGAGAATTTCATATTAAAACATAGTTGCTCAACCTAATATCCAACTTAGAAATGGCAAAAACCAACCAATACAGATGAGCATCCATTCTCAAGCAATATTTTCTGATACTGCTGATATTTAGGTTGGTACAGAAAGCCACAGAATGCCTTGTTCGTCTCACTGCAGGAATGAACAAGCTACGTTGAGAATATGTTATATATATATATATATATATATATATATAAGGCCCCTAATAATCAATACAATTTTATGGATTACAAAAATATTTTTTTCCCAACCCCAAAATGACGTCGCTTTGCAGTAACAAGAAATAACTTTATCTACTATGATGAGAAATATTAAACCCTTTTTGTAATTCTCTTAATTTTATAGGCATAAAACAGACCAAAAAAAGAGAGGAAAACTTTGTTTTTGTGAAAGAAGAAATATTATTAAAAAGAAAAGAGACTTTGTTTTATGAAAGAAGAAATATTACTAAAAAGAAAAGAGAAGTATGGCTACTATTGTAGCTACTTGTAGTAAATCAGACAAGTTCCTCTAAAGCATTGAGAGGGAAAGCATGCAAAACAAATGTTTTATAAAAATTACAAATTTCAAAAGCACCAAACATAATGGATTTTAGATTATCAATTTTATCTTTGTATATTCCCTTACTCCAAAATAACAGTGACTCTTCATCATAAAAAGCTGTAGCTACATAAGCCAAGATTAACAAACCGGAGGAGGAAATTTGCCCTGTATTGTCTCATCCCTGGGCTACATAATGCATCAATTGCAACAATCCTGGTTTTACGTCTTCCAAGGGTGTCTATGTCCCTTTCATCCACATAATCACCAGAAAATCGAAATGATGATGCATACCTAAGGAAATTAGGAGATATTATCAACATTAGGTTATGATGAAAGCACCCAGCAATTACATAAACAGTAAGTTTAAACAGCTGAAAACATATAATGAGACATAGCATCAGATAAATATTTTCATATTTAGTTCACCCCACTATATGCATACCGTATAGAAAGCACACAGCAATCAAAATAACAGTAAAATGTTCAATGTTTTCTATTCTTTGGAAGGTAAAAAATTTTGCATTAAAAAAATGTTTCAACGAGGTGTGCAAACAGAAAACAAGAAGAAAAATAGACACAGAATCTAACTGGTTCAACCTACAGCAAATTGTAGGCCAACGTAAATAGGCAAAACAAAAGAGGAAATTCAATACGCTAATCACAACAATCAAGAAATTCGCTTTTCTTCCACCTTACTAGAAACAAATGGAAAAAGAACCTCCCATGACATTTGACGTAAATAAAGCCAGTGGTATGCATTAATAATATTCATTTCTAAGTCAAAATTAGATCTAATGAGTAACACTCACCCTGTATAACTCGAAAACCTCTCCACACCAACAATATCTATAGCCTCATTGTCCGCCATTGATGGCAAGAAGAGCATGCCAGCAATCAATTCAGGACTGATCATGAAGCGGATTTCCTCCTATCCCAGATGATTACAAGCAAATTTATTAAACATCAGTAGGCCAGTTCAAGTGAGAAAAAAGTATCTCAACCTACAGAATTTACAAAAGGATGAAAGGTGCTAATACAAAATGTAAACTAGTCTGCATGCATATAAGTTTATAAAACATCAGGAATTATGGTCTTAGTAGCTATCATAAAAAGGGCAGTCTGGTGGTATAAAGCTCGCACTATGAGCTGGGTCCAAAGAAGGGGGTTAAACCCATTGTGTGGGTTTATAGTAGATAGTCTTACCTTGCATTTGCAAAAGGTTGATAACATGAATTGAACCTATGGCCTACTGGTCACGTGGCAACAACACCAATCGTTATACCAAGGTTCCCTTTCTAAAAAAAATGCTGTCATAATTGCCAAAAATTTAAGCATAAAAGATTATACATGAAAATATAAACATATTGTACCTGTACACAGCCCCTACGGAGAGCACCACCACCAAGATATTTATTTGCAAAATCCACTTCAACAGCTCCACTTGATTGATCTTCTATGAGCTCTGAACTATGAACCTAATAAATACCAAAGAATTACCTATTACAAACCAAATGGAGCATTAAAAAATACTGAAAGAAATTAGTTTTGCTGACAATTTGAAATAAATTTCTCAGTTACCTCAAATTTACATAGAGGTATAACAGAAGAGCTCCAAAAGTTGTCATTTGGGTAACAAATGTGAACAGGATCGCCTTCCAAGGGAAGTACTTTTCGCTCAAATGACACAACACCCTTAGGCATATCAGAAGTTATCCTTTGAAAATAGTGAACAATGCACCGAATCTTATTTTCTTGTTTTTGACTGTAACCATCATATAGACTCCTGAAAATGCACAAGCATAAATCGTCTTTTGGATTTCAAGATTTTTGTTTTTATTTATTTTTAGGGAAATTATACTCTTATGTTACATAAGATTCATCTCTCATGTTACACTTACATAAAAAGATGTGCCTCACTTTTTTTAAAAATTGGTGGGGGCCCACTTAATTTATCTCACAACATAAGATAACTTCTCTCCTACAACATGAGAGAAGTAAAGCCCTTATTTTTAATAACATCTGAAATAAGACATTCAGTAGGTCATCAACATGGACCTAGATCAAATATCAATTCTATATTGTTTACTCACTCTCACACACGGACACATGCGCCTGCAGCGTCTTAACACACCACTAGGGAAAAATAAGATGTTGAAAATGAAGACAAAAACGAGAAAACTGCACAAGAGATTAAGAATAGTTGGAGATAAAAAAAAATATAGCTAAAGATTTCATACGCAAACAATTCATCGAAGTTGATCATTTGAAGATTTTTCCCATATCTGTCATAGTATGGGAATAAACAAAAAAATGAGCACCCAAGAAGAGCAGCAATCAACTCCTGAAAAGCAAGAAATTGAAAATGTTATTTATAACCATTGTCAGCATGTATGTCACAATCAGCCTTAGCTATTCAAGACAAGAGATGTGATAGTGATGGTGGTTGTGGCAGTGGCGGTGGGCGGTGGCAGTAACAGTCATATTGTATAATTTTGAGTACCTATAGAGCTAGTAATCTCGAGGTTGTTGCAGTAACAACACATAAAGTAAAGTAGTTTCAGAATTTTTATTTCAAGTAGTTGTAAATTGGAATTTGGTTTTCAAACCATCTTCCAACTATAAAATATTTTAAGTACAAAAAATAAATGAGAAGAGGGAAAGAGGGCCTATAAAAAATAATATTTTATGAAAATAAAAGAAAAATACATAAACTCTAATAAGAAGCAAACCTGGTTAAGGAACACTATCCCTGCTTCCTGTGAATCCAGTAAGCGAAGACCAGTTCTAACCACACCTTCCCCTCCATCTATAACCATATCAGCATTTTCATAGTGTGTTTCCAACAAAGAGGGCAACCTCAAAACTAAATTTCCCAATGCTGGAACCACCTCTTCAAACCAAATCCGAGATTCGTCTTCGGACATAAGCTGAAACAACATGTCATAATTTCAGCACAGATGATTAATGGGTCTTTCTTTTTATGAATCAACCAGGTATAATAAGTGAAACTCATGTACCTAAAATGCCTAACATGAAAAACCAACATTAAAACTTGAAAATTGAGGTCTTATAAAAGGTAAGTTACCTGTGTTTACCTCGTCGAAGAAGAAGGCATATCCATGTGAAGTAGAAGGGGCTAAAGGTTCGGAAGAGAGAGAAAGAGAGTTTCTGAGGTCAGAAATGGCGTTGACCAAGAGCTCGCCTGAGTCGACCCGGCCTTTTCCGAGTTCTCTGAGTGCTTCCACCACTTGGGACGGCCAAAAAAGAGAAGAAGAACGTATCACCACTGGTAGATATGGTAGAATCGATCTCAAGTCTTCTCTGTTTCCCATTCTTTTCTCTTCTCTTCGGAGACGAAGAATAAGGTTACAAATTCGTGAATACCGACACCGATTAAAATTTTTTTTTTTTTATAACAACACCGATTAAAATTTAGATCATATTAAATAGGGTTTGTTTTTTTTTTTTAATTATTTTAAATCTAATATTCATCGAAACAATGTCGTTTTGAGGAGAAAATCATGGTGTTTTTATAATTTTAATTTATTTCAGAGTTATAATAATTTTTATCATTTTTATTTTTTAATTTTTCAACTCCAGAACTATGTCATTTCGATGAACATTAAATAAAATTATCTAAAATAACATTAGATACTTTTTTCTCTATTAAATAATATTTTTAATATATATAATATAATTTACATTTAATATATATTACAATGCATAATAAATTTTAGAGTAAATATTCTTTTTAGTCCCTGACGATATCCACGAAGCCCTTTTCAGTCCCTAGCAATAAAAAAAGGACAAATTGGTCCCTGAAATAACAAAAAAGATGCCACGTTCATCCTTCCGTTAACTCCCACTTAACGGCCCAACTAACGGTGCATAGTTGGCACGTTAGTTTGCTTACGCGGCTTGGATGTGGGACACCATGGAAGACGAGACGACGACGTTTTGGTCCCTGTCAAAACCACGAGGGCCATTTTGGTCCCTGTCGAAATGCACGAGAACGTTTTTAGTCCTGACAAAAAGCACGGGCCCTTATTGGTCCCTAACCAGAGAAAAATAGGCACATGACTTCATTGCTTTTCTATGCAGTCAAATTTTACAAAACAGAAGTGCATTACATTAGAAACAAGAGTGCAATCCATTTTGTGACAACAGAATGTGGGGTCGATGCCAGGGATCTCTGACGACTTCCATGCAAATACATTTGTGTTGCTTTTAAGAAAGTCAGCCAAAATTTGCTTAATCTGGGGGTCTATGGCCTTACCAATGCGGGTAAACTGAACAGGCTCTTCCCCCAGCGTGAGATCCTCAAGCTCTCCATCAGGTTCGGGTCTCGGCATTATTTCTTCTCTCATGTCGAGTTCAACCATGTTGACTGGCTTCTTAGATTGCTGAGGAATTAGATTCCTACCGGTTTTATCCCCCAAGTGAATTCGGGGTGGGTTCGAACGTCCCCCTTCATTTTCTTTGATAGTATCAAAGTAGCAGCCCCTGGATTCCTTCTGATCTCCACAAACAGTGATTATTTCATTCTTATTGCTCACCATTTTTAACTTCTGGTGTTTTGTAGAAACCAGCATGTCCCACTGATGTATGGTCGGTCTTCCCAGGATTATATTATATTCTGAAGGGAAGTCAACCACTATGAACCTAACTCGTTCTGATCTGAACGCTTCTTTTGCTCCCAGGGTTAACCTGAGATCAACGTAGCCTTTAGGAAGCGTATGTTCTCCGTTAAAGGCTACCAGCGTCGTTTTGCAAGGTTTGAGGTCCTCTTCATCCAGGTTCATCTTTTTAAAAGCATCTCAGAGTATGATGTCCGCACAACTTCCTGCATCCACGAAAATCTTCCTAACCCGGCAATTCACTAGGGTCCCCGCAATGACCAGTCCGTCAACATGACCCGGCAACACTCTGCGCATGTCTTCTTTGGTAAAGTATAAAAGAGGTGGATCTGGCTTGGTTGGGTCTTCTTTGAACGTGGGACGATCTCGAATAGAGAGTACCTCTTTCAGGTATTTTCTTCTAGCACTTACAGTATCTCCTCTTCCCCCCAAGGCTCCACTAATTACATTACAATCAAACTCCACTTCTGAGAATTCGTCATAGTTGGAATCATTTTTCTGATTCTTATCCTGTTTGTTCTTCTTTTCAGTAACAGGACTTTTGCTTCGATTCCTGTTTCCCAACTTTCTTTTGTTGTTTATGGAACCTTGGGTTTTTATTACGTATTGACGTAATCTACCATCTCTTACAAACTTCTCCACCGCATCTCGGAGATCCCAGCATTGATCAGTTGTGTGACCTGACCCATCATGAAAGACGCAGTATTTGGACTTATCTAATCCTCCTCTGTCAAATATGGGACGAGGTCTCTCCACCTTTTTCATCTCCGTCGTGGCTACTTCTCTCCAGATTTGAGAACGCGACGCATTCAAAGATGTATACTTGTCATACCTCCCAATGCGGTCCCTCATGTCCGGGATTCGTTGGCGTTGATCTTTCTTCTTGTTGTCAACACGTTCCTTTCCCTTCGGGGGTGGGCTCCTTCTTTATCGGGCTTGCTCTTTTACCTTCATCAGATTGCACATTTGCAATCTCCATTTGCTCTAGTTCGAGATATTTCTTCGAACGAGTTCTAAATTCCTCCAATGTCCTTACTGGGTCCTTATAGACCGACTTGGCGAGTCTGGATCCACCATCCAGACCTGCCACAATGAGGTGGACGTGGACATTCTCTTGCAACCTTGGGACCTGCAATGCAGCGTCCTTGAACCGGTTAAGGTATTTTTGGAGGGTTTCTCCAGGTTGCTGTCGTATCTTTCCAAGAGCGAACTCGGACTTTGGATGCTTCTTGCTTGTTGCAAAGTTCAATAGGAACTTCTGTCCGAATTCCTCAAAGGATCCGATGGAATTAGCAGGCAGGGTTGAGAACCACGCCTGTGCTGCCCCAGTTAGTGTTATAGCAAATATTCGGGATATGAGAGGTTCATCAATTCCCCGAATGTACATGTCTGTGTCAAAGGCATCTATGTGCACCTGCGGATCCTGGCTCCCATCATATTTCAGCAGACGTGCCGAGTCAAAGACCTCTGGGAAGACAGCGTTTAATATTTCAGTAGTGAATGGGCTGTTATTATACTGCCCCCTGCTGTACTTCCTCCTATATTCGCCAGGTTCTACTCGCCCTCGGATGTTTTGAGGATCCTGTTGATATTGAGCTCTAACCCGGTCCTCCTGACCGTCAGCATGTGCCTGATGGTTTTGTGCATTTTGGCCATCAGCGACCTGGTATCCCTGGTTTACCAGGTTATCAGGGTTTTCTGCATGAGGAACTTGGTATGACTGAACCGAGTTCCTAGGTCCTTCTCGACCATTGGCAGGTTGGCCTTCGACATTGGCTATTCCTGGCGTAGTCTGCCGTGTTAATCGCCGCTCCAGGTCTTGCATCTCTCTATTATTTTCCTCCCGAATAGCCCTGAAATCTTGTTGTCGTTGCAGGTTAGTACGGGTTTCCAGCGCTGCTATTCGCTCCATGTTGCGTTTAACGCGTTGTTGGCCAACCGAGTATCCGGATCAGCCGATTGAGCAATGCGCGCAACCAGGTCGCCAGGATGCTGGGCAGGGTTGCTCCTTATTGGAGCTACGTTCGTCGCAGCCCCCCATTTCGACGCACCGGTGTTGAAGCGGTGTCTGAAACATCGTCTTCGACCTGGACGTGGTCGTAATCCACGTTGTTTCCGATCTGGTTGTGAGGCTGATTTATCTCCTCAATGACTGGATCCAACGGTTGATTCTGGTTTGGGGGTGGCTGCTGGCTACTGCTCCTCGTCTGGATTGCCATCCCTTGTTAGATTCGGTGGGAACTTCAAATTCAGATTCAAAGAAAAGAATTCTCATAGACGGTGCCAATGTTCTGTCCTTGAGACAGAGATGTCTAGCCCAGTTAGGCTAGTACGTTAATGTTGGATCTGGTGCCCTCTCCAAGGTATCTATGAGGGAGATACCCTTGAGTCAAGCAGATCACTGTGCACAGAATACTATAACGGCGTTAGCCAATGGGGTGTGTGTGTGCACAGTGACAGCATAACAATAAGAGAGAGAGAGAGAGAGAATGTGTGTACCTTTAGAGTTTGCCTTTGTATTTATAGAGGTTACCTGTAGGTAGTGTGGATGGGCCTTTGGTTCCTACGGTGAGGGTCCAGGCCTGATAGTCATGCTGTCGCATTAGGATTAATATCCTTGATGGATATCTATCCTTTATGAGCATCAATCCATGTCTTGGATTGCCCCTTGTTGAGCTTGCTACTTAATGGGCCCATTATACGGGTCCATAACACTTTGATTTTCTTTCTACACTTCATTTTCCTTTCTTTCATATATCACTTCTCTTATATTTTTTAATCAAATTTAGAACAATTTTTACTTATATTATGTTTATAATTTATTTATTTTTATAAATTTTTAAATTTATACAATTTTTTATTTTTAAATAATGAAAATCTTGATAAAGGAAAAAATTTGGCTAGCGAATCAGCCCTAATCCAACCAGCTAAATAATTATGGCTAAAAACGACCCGACCACAAGAAAGTCCTAATTGATTAGGGCTAAATTTAAGGCTTTATGAGCTGACAGGAGCTTTAGCCCATCTTGACATCTGTTTTATCCACAAAATCACCAGAAAACCGAATTGATAATTCACCTCTAAATGGCAGTTTCAGCCATTGCTTCAAAGGTTAGAAACATAGCGAGAAAGCTTTATCTTTGTAGTCACGCCGAAATACAAGTGAAATTTGTGCCTCATTTTTGTTACGAATAACTTGAAATTGGATTATGTTATGTTATCACGTGAAAGATGTTACAGGGTACAAGCCGTCCATATCATTATCATGTGTTTTGCGATGTACTGCTGAAGATTTGCAGAAGCTTACAAACAACATGTGTTACACGTAATAATTTTGATATTTTGTATTTTTGCTATGCCTCCCCTCAAGAGAATGTTCAGAAGTTTATGTTTTATTGCTAAAATGATGTTTTGTTGCTCTTGTTGAAATTGTTGCTTTGAAAGTATCTTCAGATATTGCCCAGTGTGGTTCTCTTTTATTGTTTTCTTAAAACATTTGTCTTTAGGAATTGCAGTTGTTGGATGTGTTTATTGAATTTGAGATCTGGTGGAGAAATTGAATTTGAGATCTGATTATTATTTTCTATTGATCCATCACTTGAATTTAAATGAAAAATATTTTTGGTGAATTGAGTATTTAATATTGAGGAAGTATAACTACCGGTTCGTGTGAAGATTGGAATTTTTTGTAAATGGATTGTCTTTGAATTTTAATGGATTAAAATAATCAAGTATTAAGACCTGTATAATATTACTCTTTGGTTCAGTTTGCATTTCTGCTTATCAAGCTAATCAGTGTCTTGTCAGTCGCTGGCTTGCATAATTATCACGTCCTTGAATCTTAATGGGTTAAAATTGTGAAGTTTTTAAAAACTATTTTGAGATTAATTGGTTATTGCTTAAGACACATTTACCGAAGTCTTATCGGTAAACTTGTGTGTCGGATGAATTTGTTTTGTCCGCTAATTTGCTATATTGTTTGGGAGTTTGAAACAGAAGGAAGGGAATTCTAGCACCGCTAGGGTTAGTCTAGTGGTGTGGGGTGTGTGTTAGGAGTGTGTGTAGTGTAGGGTGTTTGTGTTCAATTCCTTGTAACCTAAAAAAAAAAAAAAAAGGGAATTCAACAGTGAGGGAGGTCAAGGAAAGGAAGAAAATTGAAAAGTATTCTCTTCTCTTGTTTTAGAGTTAAAAAAAGGTAAAGGAGAATAATGAAAGATTAATAAGATATTTTTACCATTTTATCCTTTTTAAAAAAATTAATATAATTATTATATTTTACAAATAAAACTAAATTTAAATGTCCAAAAAAAATTATATATGTACTTTTCTTACTACTAAAAAAATCATATTTTTTGATGAAATTTCTACGTTTCAAATGTCAAAAAATACATTTTTGATAGAATTTTTTTGTCGAAAGGTGACAAAATCTTTTTTCTGTCAAAATTTTGACGAAAATAAATTCGTGTCAAATTTTTTGATGCAATTTACTTTTCGTCAAAAGTTTTGACGAAAATGATTTCTTAAATATTTTGGACAGAAAAAAAGTCCATCGAAAGTTGCCACCAAATAATAAATTTCGTCGAAATTTCAGACGGAAATATTTTTCGTCCAAATTTTTTATGGAAATGCTTTTCGTCGAATTTTTTTATAGAAATGTGTTCCATTGAAAATTTCAACGAAAATGTTTTTTTGTCGAAAATTTGGTGAAAATATTTCCGTCTATTATAAATAAAAATAATTATTATTTTATTATATTATATCACGTTTATATAAAATATGTTTCAGTATTTTTTTTTACAATATATCAAAATTCCAATAATTTGTGGTTGTCATTTAACTTAGCAGACTGGAAAGAGAACATCATACTTATAAAGAATAAGAACACTTCGGCAAAGATCCCAAATTATAGTTTTTTTTCTTAAGTCACTAATATCAAGAAACATCAAACATGACCAATTCCAGTAAATAACATAGATGATCTTTATCAAAAAACTAAAACTCATGACCAATTATAGTTTTATTGATATTCATCTTCAAATATTTTGTAAATTCGTGATCCTTGAAATGACAGCCATGATCCACGAGTGTAAGAGTTAGAAAGTAGTAAAAATTCTAAACTCCTTTAGCCAAAAAAAATCTTTAAGATGTTATTGTATTTTTGGGAAGATATCGAGTTTTTTTTATTAAAAAAACAAATAGTATTTGATACCATTTTTTGTCAATGTCTTTGATTCCTGAAATTATTTAAATTCCTTATTTTCTTTTGAGTACATAGTATATTTTATAATTGAGTTCTTTGAGTACAAAGTGAAAATGTGAAGTAAGAATTGGATTTTTTAACAAGTTCGATTGACGAAAGCTTCGGAAATTTCTCTTCCTTTCTTCCATATAAATTGAGTTGCACGCTTGTTTCGAGGTTTATGGTTGTATTAGTTAATATGTTGGCTTCCTTTGTATATTTCGACTTGCATGCATGAATTTATCTTGTAACTTTCAAAAGAAGTGTTGTCATATGATTGAGACCTATCTAGCACCGCTACGACACGCGACACGTGACACGATACGACACTCCGATACGTCAATCCTAAAAAATTATAGATTTCGATACGTTGGGACACATTTTAATATTAAATAATATTTTTAATTTATATAGTGTATATTTCATTTAATATTTAATAATTTAACAAAAAAATGAAACTAAATTAATAATACCCATCAACACATTATAAAGATGAAAGATTTAATAAAAAAAATAAGAACTGGGATGAGAGATATATATAATATCAGATAGAGAGATCAAATTATATTAGAGAGAGATCAGAGAGAAGGAGATACAACAAGAGTGTGATAGAAATTGACAACAATGATGCTGAGATGATTTCTTATCTACTTAAGGAGAAAAAAGACAAAAAAAATAAAATTGATATGATTAAGTGGAAGCTTTATTAATATATTTTAATTTTTAAAAAAAAATTAAAAATTAAAATAAAAATAAAATTACAAAAATACCATTTGACCGTGTCGGACACGGTCAAATTTGCGTGTCGGAATGGTCAACGTGTCGAAAAAAGTTGACCGCGTGTCCGACACTACTCTCCCTGTTTTTACAAGTGTCCGTACTTCCTTGATTGAGACTACCTTTACATCCTATGGTATATTTTTGGACGGGAAAAGAGGGCATGCGGGTTTGGTTATGTAGAATTTTGCAATTTTGCAAAATTCATCATTTACTCGGATAGATGATGTCATTTACTCGAGTAAATGACCACAAAGAATGAGAAGAATTTTATGTAATTTCTAGGGTTAATTGAATCACTCATAGTTATGTTGATTCGATGATTGTACATATTTTAGCAATTTCATGAATATATATATGCATACATATGTGTATGAATATAGTACTTCCTTCCTCATGACAGCCTTGAAATACATAACCGAATGTAATAGTTTTATAAGTCCATATGTAATGGTATCACTGGCGGACCCAGCCATGGGCAAATGTCCGCAAGTGCCCACATAAAATTTTGGATTTTTTTTTTTTTTTTTTTTTTTTTAGCTTTGTAGGTATTTATTTGTATGTTGATTCAATATTTATATTAGGAGTAAATATCATTTTAAGTTTCTAATAAAAAACATGGTCCCCACTTTAGTCTCTTATCAAAAATTAGTCTCGAGGTCCCTACGAAATTCAAAGTGAATCAATTTAGTTAAAATCGTGGTTCCTCACTAATTCAAAAAAGACCTACATTAGTTACTCAAAAAGACTAAAATGAGTTCACTTTAAATTTCATAAGGACTAGGTAACTATTTTTTTTTATAATAGACTAAAGTGAGTACCGAATTTTTTGTTGGAGACCAAAAATGATATTTATTCTTATATTAGTTAGCAACGTACGGAGATGATTAAAATAACGTAGCAACGCTCTCTTCCTCCCCTACCATGTACCCATTCTCACGCTCTCTTCATCTCCTTTGTTTTCTTTCTAGACAAGGCCTTCAGTGTGATTTTGCTTGTCTTCTGTACAAATAGTGTTGACTTTTTTATTCACCACTATAAAATAGAATAGAATGATGATGTATGGATGTACTTAAGTATATTTGCATATTTGTTTTGGAGGATTGGTAAGATTTAAGAGAAAAAATGATGGGTCAAAATATTGCCTGCAGCTTGTTACGGAAGCAACTAGATTATGAGCGAGTTTAAGCGTTAACTTAAACTTTTTTTACAAAAAAAATTTGGGAGCACCCGCCACTAAATGTGCGGATATAAACAAATTTTTCTGGGTCCGCCACTGAATGGTATGAATGAATGTGATCTAGGTGGAATAGGTTTATGTGCATTGAAGTCAGTAAATTACATGACCCATTAGTATATCCAACAGTAGCCTTCTACCTTCCAAAATTTATTAGTAGAAATAGTGCCTTTATTCACTATTAGAAAACAAGATTTTTGCGACAGACGTTTTTTGTCGCAAATCAAAAGATGGAAAAAGGAGGTCGTAAAGGCTATCATCGCAGGCAACTTGGACTCCTTCTCCTGTTTGATCGAGCCCGATATGGAAGCTTATGAAGGCATATCCCATCCTGAGGAAGTAGCCAATGAATGCTCCATCATCCTCAATGACAAACGTCTGGAAGGAATCGTGACTGGAGAGCTTGAAGTAGCGAGCCCAGAACACCAATTAGAAGGATTCGAGCAACGACCTCGGCCAATTAGGTGCATTGCGAATCCCCTCCTCCTACCGCCACTACGATAACCGCTAAGCAACGCCACTTGCTTCTCCTCCTCAGTATAGTCTATGCCCCAAAGCCAAAACCTAACCCCAGCGGGCAGGCTCCTTACAAATGCAAACTCGTCTTCCTCTACCTCGCCACACGCCCTATTATGCGAAACGCTCCACCTCTCCCCCTCGAACCTCTCCCACTCATTATCAACAACACACAAGTGTTTGGAAAATATTTGAGGAAGGACATTATGAAGTCACTTACCCAGAAAACCCATGACACTATCAATTAGTAGCCCCCACGAACACAACCAAATGTAAGAGAGAATCACACTTTCTAAGCCTAAAGCAATATGCAATATGAGTATGGATGCATAGGAATAATTTAGAAAAAATTCAGATTACATTTTCTGACGAGTTACAACTATATAACACAACCAAATGTCAGAGAGAATCGCACTTTCTAAGCCTAAAGCAATATGCAATATGAGTATGGATGCATAGGAATAATTTAGAAAAATTCGGATTAAATTTTCTGACGATCTAACGAGTTACAACTATATATAAACATCGATCAGAAACGATGAATTGCCGCCGGCGAACAGTTATAACCGACAACAATGAATCAGTTAAAATAACCAAATGCACTATCTCGGTTCAAAAAGGCAGGAAGGAACACTCACACTCACATGCCGAACCGAGCCGGCTGGACGAACAACAGTGGCGGACCAGAGCCCACCTACGTCCTCTCTCCTCCACAAAAGTGGAGTGTGCCTAAAGGGCAAACTAAAGAGGCCTTGCGGACGTTTATAAACCCTTCCACTTATCATTACTTGTACAATGTGGGACTTCTATTCACACTCCCTTTTCACCTTCCCTCTTTTTCTTCTTCCTCAACCCACTTCTTATTCATAACCCATGAGATTTAAACACAAAGTTCAACAGTCATAAGTATGACAGCATCTTATAACTTTTAAGTATGTTAATTACATTTTTTATAAGCAATTCCATGCTTCTTGATTATAGGTATTGGAAAATAACCAGTTTTTTAACTTTCCAAGAATTTCTTTTAGCATGTACAGAGTCATGAAACAATGACTATTTGGAGACTTCATCTTGATGTTTTTTCTCCCATGCACACAATATCTCGTTGGTATATGCAACTCTTACTGTGATCTAATATTAAGTAGAGAAGAACCCATATATCTAGGTGACCTACATAACACTAATACTAGAATATGGAGGTCACTCAAGCCAGGTGTTGAAAAAGGCAATGATCTTACCTAATATTGGTAGAATTATACCCCATTGCATGGAAGTGCAAGCTAGTTTCAGGACCTAACACGTTGAGGTAAACACTTATTTTTATTTAAAATAAGAAAAAGAAGAAGAAAAGAAATTGAACTCAAGTGCGAAAATGAATATGAATTCACCGAGCGACAAACAATTATATGTCTAGCAGCATGCATATATATTCATTGGTCGATCTAAATATATATGCATATTAGGAAACGCCTAGAGGACATGCGGCTCCTTCCTTCCCAAGGTCAAGGTGCTGTCTGCCCTTTAGGGTCTGACTATACCTAATGCATATCTTCATTGAGTATCAACCATCAGTTGCCTACTCAAAAAATTGCTTGTTAGGTGGTTGCATGTCAACATACAACACACGCCCATGTAATATCTGCAAAAAAGATAGTTGATTCATTTACTGAATTTTGGTATTTCATTAAAAAAGAAAAAGAAAAAGTAAGCAAATTCTGGCCTTTCTATTCATGCTCATCTGTGCCTTACGGGCTTCTTCCTCCTTAGAAAAAGTCACATATCCAAAACCTTTGGGTCTATTCTTGGCTTTATTCAGTATTATATCAGCTGGAAAAGTGAAATAGTGGATGCATGAGAATTTTAATCTGGAAGGTTTTAGGCTTGTCATGACAATAGAGGCACATACCTTTCAGGACCCTGCCGTATTGAGAAAAAGCTTCGGCTAATTTGTCTTCTGTAGTAGAAAATGCTAAACCTGCATCAAAATTTATAGGTCATGGCAACAACAAGACTGTGTTAAAGTTTGGATGCTTATTTGCAGAGGCAATTCTTGGATTTCAGGTAAAGAAACTCTCTCTCTTCTTGCTCCCTGCAAAAGTCATGGAAAGTTTCAGGCATTTTTTACATGGTTTTTCAATGTTTTACACGAGTTCTGTGAGGAAAGATTTTTTGTTGGAGCCACTCAAATCTTAGGGTTTCAATCTCAGTTTAGTGTTCTACTCTTTTCCTTTTTTGGATTTTCTCATATGATTTTTTGCAAACTATATTGCAATTATTTTCAAGACTCTCTGTGGCTGACAACCTCTTCACGGTGAGAGTTCCACCATCCATACATTCCTTTCACAATCTCATACACTTCAACTTCTCAGGAAACCATTTCCTTGAAGGTTCTCTATCATTGAACCGGATGTTTGAACAATCAGCATAGATACTGTCCCCAAAAGATACACCTTTGCTGAGAGTTCAATTGATAAAAGAAAAATTTCTTTTGCACCTGCTCCCTCATATCACAAGAATCACTCTGCTGTTGGTGCAACTCCTGCTCCAGCAGCTGCAGTTCACCGCCACAAGTCAAGCAAGAGGAAAGTAGTTAGATGAATTCTTGGGTTTGTGGCTAAGGCACTCGTTGGGACCATATCCGGGTTAATATTGCTTTGTTGTTCAAGGTAGGAGGAAAGAACTCAGACCGTGCAATTTATAGACCCTTCGTCCAAAGAGGAAATTTTTTGGCTATCTTGGAGAAAGAAAATGAGCTGGCTTCATTACGAATCATTGGAAGGGGAAGGTGTGGAGAAGTTTACAAGGCTCAATTATCCGGAAGGAATGGCAAAATGATTGCCATAAAGAAGATTATCCACCTTCCGGAGGATGCAACAGAGTTGGCTGAAGAAGATAGGAAGCTGTTGCATAAGAAAATGCACCGAATTCGATACCAGATTAAAACGGTCAAATTCAACCCTGCAACCTTCTGTCTCTGCTGGTCTACATGTCTAGGCCTGATTGTCATTACCTTATCTATGAATTCATGGAGAATGGAAGTTCACAGATGTGTTTAATAGAGTTCATATGGGTGAAAGAGAAATTGGATTAGTTGACAGGGCACAAAATTGCACTTGGTGTAGCAACTGACCTTGAATACCTACCCATGGACCACACTCACGTATAATTCATAGAGACCTCAAGCCCGCAAACATTCTTCTTGATGATGATATGGAAACTTGAATTGCAGCGTTTGGTCTTGCAAAGGCTCAAACACGCACCACAACTTTCAATGTAGCTGACACAATGGGACACAGCACCAATGACCAAAGCATCACCAAATACTCAAATTCACTGAAAAGTGTGACATATACAACTTTGGGGTTCTGCTTGGTGTCTTGGTGATAGGAAAGCTTCCATCACATGAGAGCTTAATTAGAATTAGAGCTTATATAAATTCTTTTATCAAACAACTTATTTATAGCTTGAGCTTCAAATTAGCTACTAAGCTTAAAAAAAAATCCGGGTCAAGCAGGCTCTAAATCAAAAAATAAATCTAAAACCTTGCAACTACACTAAAAATTAGATATGTTAAGGACATAAGTAACTTCTACTAAACTCATTGGCGTATAGATGCAGTGGGTATCATTTAGCTGTTCCTACATCAGGCTGAATAATGTTTCACTGAGTAAGAAGAAATCATTGTAAGAATTAATATATTCATAGGCAACAGTAAATGAAAGCATGAGAACCAACTGGCCAACATCAGAATAATAGCCTTTGCTGTTGTGTTTATGAATGAAGTAGAATGCCAGAATTTTTATAATCATAAACATCTTCCCTTTTCCGTGGAAATTCTTTTCTTTTCCCCCTTGGATTTCTTATCCTCCTGTTTTGCGCTTCCCCTATCTGACTCTCTTATTAAATTCTTCTTACAACCAAAATTTAATTTAACCAAATGCCAGAGAGATTGTGCAAACCAAATGTTCAATTAATCCATGCTTAATTTGATTCATATGCTAAAGCTAATTGCACACGATAGCACTCAGTTTGGAAGTTTTAAAAATGTAATCATGTTCTTCGTATCTCATAATCGAAACAATTGAAGATAATGACTCAAAACCTGACACCAGAGAAAAACGTGAGACAGCATAATATAAAGGAAGGGGGAAGTGTACCTTTAACAAAAACCTTGCAAGTCATTCTTCGAAGGAAGAGGAGTTGAGAAAGAGAAGCATGGGATTTTGAGCGACGGAAAATTTCTAGCAGAGATGCCATGTGAAGTTGGGGAATGGTCGAATGGAGCATAGTTCTCGACTAATTTACAAAGCAAAGAAATTTATATGCCCTAATTTGGGAAAATTTTAATTTGTTTTTCAGAGGGATAGGTTCTAACGGGACAGATTATCTACTATTTTTTGTGTTTATCTTTCTCTCTTACTCTTTTGTTAGATGAAATCTTAACTAACATTTATCTTTTTTCTTCTTAAGATTTCAATATAGGCAAGTGATAGACAAAGATAGGCAGAAATAATTGTAGATAGAATAACCTGTATCTACATTTTTTTACCACTCTTCAATACCGTTAGATCAGAATCTCAAGAAGAGAGAGAAAGATAAATATTAGTTAAGATTCTGATCTAACAGTATTGGAAAGTGATAGGCAGAGGTAGGCAAAAAAAAAATGGTAAGTAAAATAACTTGTCCCTGTTTATTATAAGCAAAAAGTTTTGTCATCTTAAATGACATAAAGTTATGTCATTTTAAAAGAGAGATAAATAAAAAAATATTTAAAATTTAAATTAAAAAAAATCACCAACTTTCTCTTCCATGATTTTTATTTCTTGTGTCTATCTTTCTTCTAAAATGATATAATATTATTTAAGGGATAGATTATTCTACCTACCTCTTTTTCTACTTACCTTTGCCTACCACTTTAAAATACCATTAGATCAGAATCTCAAGTAATCTTTATCTTTCTCTCTCCTACTGAGATTCTGATCTAACGGTGTTAGAGAGTTATAGGCAAAGGTGGGTAGAAAAAATGATAGGCAGAATAACTTATCCCATCATTTAAAATGACAAACATCAAACCCTTATTATAAACACGAATATGTTTACGATGTTATATCATATAAATTATTTTATGCAATATAAAAAAATAGATAAAAAATATTAATTTTTTTTAGCAGTTTCCATTTTTTTTATGTGTTGCATTTGATAATTTATTTTCCTTAATTATAAGCCCTATAATCTAATAAATAAGGAGAGGGGATGATAAGGTAAATTGCAAACAAAACAGTCTAACTGTAATTTATTTTTATTTTTTTAGGTAGCTCTCTGATTGTAATTTTATCTCAAGATCAAAGCAATCTTTAAGATGCTTTGCACAAAGGCCTGTATGTAGAAAAGCCTTTGTCTCTAGACAAGCCTCTGTCATTCCACGGGCACATTATTACAAGAAGTAATTTTTGGGTCTCACGCTCACCTTTCTTTTTCTGGTAAGTAATTCTACTATGATGCTATATATTTAGAATTACATGAGTTCAAAGAGACTTGGAATATACAGTTGGTTGCTTCTTGAATGTTCGAACCTTTTTTAGATTTAAAGAAAGAATGGGAGGACATTTCTAGTTTCAAATTTTTGTTGGGACATTAGTCGAAACATAAGGAGGAGTTAATTTTTATTTATTTATTTTTACTGGTTCTAATTATTTATTTGAATTTTTTTTAAATCGGTTAAGAGACTAATTCCGAATCTAGGCTTAGTCAAAAAAATTTCGCTCCTCCCTATTAATGTATTTAGCGAAAATTGAATCCAAGTTCTTTTCCGACTCTACTTAACATGTATTGCTAACTGAGCTACACTTGTTGAGTACTTTTTAATTTTTTTAAGGTTTGAATTGATTAATTAACATTCCGCAGGTTCAAAACTACTAGCTTGGATATGGGCCATCGGAAGGGGTAGGGGGAAAAAACATCATCAACTTAACTACAGGGGAATCAGGAATGGAGAAATGAAGAAGCTTAATTTATGCCTAAAAAAATTTATATAGGCCATTAATTACCCATTCTATTTGAATTATAACCGAATAAAATAAATAATTTTATTTTTATACTGGTTCTTCAGAAATTTCATTAATTTGATTCGAGCTCCAATGCATCCACATGAAGGCGGATTTTCTCGGGCTTATGCCCTAAGTGCACACAAAAAACAAAAGAGGCGGATTTTCAAGGATTTAAATTTGAAACCTTTTGATTAGGGAAAATAAATACTGTAACACTTTTTTTTATACAAGTAGAAATTGAACACGTAACCTAATACAACCTATCCAAATCCCTCATCACTATACCAATCCTAGTGACTTAACACTTTAATAGAAGGAAACTTGTTAGAAAGAATATATCTTTTGTATATCTGTAAATATTTATTTCCTTATTTCATTAGGATTTGTGTTAGGTCTGGGCTAAGCCCATTAGTGTGTCTATATATTGTACATCTTGTATCAATTCAATACACATAGATTTATTTCAATGTTCCTATCTTCTCTTGTTATTTAACATGTTATCAAGAGCCTAAGGAACCTTGATTTTCTTTTCCGGTGAACCCAATGTTCGTCGTCTTTTAAATTTTTTTCTGGAACGGTCTCATTGTCAGTTTTCGGACGTTTCTTTCTTTCATTTTTCTCTCCGCACACAACCGCCAGAACCCCGTCGAACCGCGTTGAAGCCTCTGCTCCGTCAACCACCACCGTCCGGTGGCTTTTTTCGGCGATCCACATACTGGCGTGCTAGTCTCGGCAGCGCGGTCACAACGACACCGGTCGCGTCCCCAGAACAGGTCACACCCGCCCTCACGCACGCGTGAAAGTTTCGCCACCCTCTTCACACTTGCGGCGCGTGGAGGCTCATCTCTGGTCGTGGCTGGTTGCGTTCTTCTCGTCTCACTATGACGGTTCTAGATCTGGTCTTGTTTGGTGTTTGGACCTCGTTTTGAGTTGACGCACAGATCCCTCTTCTACCGATTAGTTGTGTGATCTGTCTTTCTGATTTCTTTTTCTAATTTTGATTATGGATTCCCTTATCTCTTCTGTTTCTGGGTCTCCGGCTGGCTCCAAGTCGGAGTCTACTATTTTTTCAAATTATATCTTTGCTCCGCTGAGTGTGGATAAATTAAATGGGTCAAACTATGATACTTGGTCGTCATTGGTTGGATGGGCAAGATTATACATCCCATCTCACTACTAAGGCTGATTCTGTGGCGGATAGTCATGGGATCACTCAGTTGAAACAACATTTATGTCATCATTTTCAGACTAAGGATATTGGAAAACTTTGATATTTCTTGGGAATCGAGGTGGCCCAATCTAAAGATGGAGTTGTGATATCTCAGAGGAAATATGCTCTGGATATTCTTGAAGAAACTGTTTTGTTAAATTCTAAGTCTGTTGATACTCCTATGGATCCAAGTATCAAGCTTCTACCAAATCAGGGGGAGCCATTTTCTGATCCTGAGCAGTATAGGAGATTGGTTGGAAAATTAAACTACCTCATAGACACTCGGCCTGATATTTCATTTGCAGTTAGTGTGGTAAGTCAATTTCTTAATTCTCCATGTCAAGAACATTGGAATGCCGTCATTCGTATTCTTAAATACATCAAGGCATCTTCAGGAAAAGGCCTTGAATATGAAGATAAAGGTCATGTTAAAGTTATTGGGTATTGTGATGCTGATTGGGCTGGTTGTCCAGCTGATAGGAGATCTACTTCTGGGTATTAAGTCTTTGTTGGAGGCAACTTGATTTCCTGGAAAAGTAAGAAACAAAATGTAGTCGCCAGATCAAGTGCTGAAGCAGAATATCGCTCCATGGATACTTCTACTTGCGAGCTCATCTGGTTAAGAAACTTCTTAGAGAGCTTAAGTTTGGAGACACTGGACAAGCAACTTTCATTTGTGATAACCAAGCAGCTCTGCACATTTCGTCAAATCGAGTGTTTCATGAAAGAACCAAGCATATAGAAATAGATTGTCACTTTGTTCGAGAAAATGTTCTTGCTGGTGAAATTACAACTAGTTTTGTACCCTCTAATGATCAATTAGCAGATATATTTACAAAGTCTTTGAGGGGTCCTCAAATAGAGTTTATATGTAACAAGCTTGGTGCATATGATCTATACACTCCAGCTTGAAGGGGAGTGTTAGAAAGAATATATCTTTTGTATATCTATAAATATTTATTTCCTTATTTCATTAGGATTTGTGTTAGGTCTGGGCTAAGCCCATTAGTGTGTCTATATATTATACATCTTGTATCAATTCAATATACACATATTTATTTCAATATTCCTCTCTTCTCTTGTTATTTAACAAAACTAATATTATTATTTTATTTTGTATCATGTATAATTACTATTTGGTTGAAAAATACTTTTTTTTCCTTTTTTGTATTTTAATTGTAACATCCTCTATAATTAACTAGTATAGAGAATATCACATTATTTCTAAAATTATACTTTAATTGTAAGAATAATAAAATAGGGAAATATAAACATAAATAGGTAATACAAACTTTCTCAAGTTACTTTATACATGGTACCAAGTTAGATACATATATTTTATATTCAATTATTCTACATCCTAAGCTATTTTACATTAGTACAATACATTATTACATTTCTAACTGCTTAAAGTTACAAATTTATACATTACGTAAGCCTTATTCAGTCTAATCTATAGGTATAAACTTCTACATTGTCCGGATAAAATATAGCCACTGTTTCTTGAGTTTCTACTACTATATAAATTCCCAGCGGTCTTCATAAGAGTAAATAATAACAGTCCATCATTCGCCAGTAAGGCATAAACTTGGATCAAACAATTCGATCTTAAGGGGTGGTACTATATATGGTCAATCTGACACAACACGATACGAATTTGAAATTAGGTTAAAACATTCGACATGAATATGACTTGTTTATTTCACGGGTTGACACAACACTAATAATCCATAAATTTGTAGTGTGTCGTTTATTATGCGGGTTGACACGATACAACATAACATGAATAACCTATTAACCCTAAACTGTATTATTTATTATGCGAGTAAACACGACATGATAAGACATAAATAACCTATTTACGACATGACATGATCCGAATAACCTCTAAGAAGATTAATACGGGTCAATTTTGGATTCGTAGGTAGACAATAAACACACCACTTAACATGATTTTTTCCTGGTTAATTTTTGCCAACCCAAACACGATATGAATTTGAAAATAGATCGATTGGACAAGAATTTTTCGTATTCAGCACGCCATGTTGAAAATTGCTACCCTTACTTATTATGTGAAAAACTAAACGTTCATATAAGTAATTTAAATATAAGTAATCTTTAATAATTTTTCTAAAGTATTTTTTCTCAGCCCTCATTTACGGATGACTATTGGGCTATTTCTCATTTAATGAGAAAAGACCTTCATTGTTAATTATTGTTTCAATTTCATCAACTCTTATTTGCTTGGACTTTTGTTGACCTTCTTCTCACGTGGTTAAAACATCTTATGTACAATTTCACTTCTTTCTTTCTTTTTTTTCAATAGGTGCCACTTCTTTTTCATTAATATATTCATTCATCTTATGATCTTGACATTAAAAAATATAATAATTGAGACTGAAGTTTCCAAATACTAAATAAATACAATAAAATTGAAGATTATCATTTAGAATGACAAAACTGCAAGGATTTGATACTAACGATAGTAATAAGGTTTCGAAATTTATTTATATCAAATCACATTACATGAACAAAGGAATAGAGAAGCTCAGGCAATGGTCGTAAAATTACAATGAATTATGAGGAAGTGCAAGTGCTTCTCGAATTGGCTTTGTGCCGTGAAGCATCAAAACATAAATGACACGTGTGAGACCTAGAACAAAAATAAATAAATAAGGAAGATATTGCTCCCCAAAAAAAAGGGTTCTAGGCTCTAGGGCGTCTGGGTTGCCGTTTCTAGCTTTGCTCTGAGGTCTTTCCTTAATATCTTCCCTGCTGGAGACTTCGGAATTGCATGAACAAAGTAAACTTTGTGCAGTCTTTTATAAAACACAACCTGTTCACAACAAATACCACAAACCATTCAATTTATTAAAAGCCTCTTCAACATGAAATTTCCGTTAAATTTATATAGCTTTTAAATTTGCCAATGTAAGTAAGTTGATGTTTTTATGTATTTGACCGATATGAATGGAGTTAATTCTTTTGATATTTTCATTTTAGCCAAATTAATTATATGTAAGCTAAAATACGAATCAAATCACATGATAAAAGTATATAGTGGCAGTGGATTTATATACCTGTTTAGCTATAAACTCCTTTACGGTCTCTTCAGTTAGATCAAAGCCATTTGACCTCACCACGAAAGCAACAGGAACTTCACCAGCAGCAACATCCTTTTGTCTGTGAATTAACATATTACAAATCCATTAATAACATTATTAATCAATAGTTATGATTTGTATCACTAGCTCGCTCTGCTTTATATGCATATATAGTAAACCATCAAGATTCAAATTAAGATGCTTACGGGACAACAGCTGCGTCTGCAATGGAGGGGTGGCTTACAAGAAGCCCTTCAAGTTCTGCTGGAGGCACCTAGCAAAACATATGAATAAACATGATTGGTTGTTCCCCCCCTTTTTTTTTTCTCTATAAAATTTTATTTTGCAAATTAAAAAAAGAATACATATATACCTGGAAGCCTTTAAATTTGATGAGTTCCTTCACCCTGTCAACGATGAAAATTTCATCATCATCATCTATATAGCCAACATCACCGGTATGAAGCCAACCCTCTGCATCGATAGTCGTTGCTGTAGCCTTCTCATCGTTCAGATATCCTGAAATATTTAAACGTATGATATAAGTTTATAGGTAGTCAACATAAATTTTGACTAGAACAAGAATTAGAACCAAAACATCATCACCAAATTAATTACAATTAAAATAACAAATTGAATTTATGAATCCGTTTTCTTCTTTTTCCTAAAAGTTTGATTTATTGCATGCACACTATGTTTATCATAAATATTAGGATGTGATACGAAGGGCTCAAGTGTTAAGCAAAACTTGGAGGGATTTTTAAATGTTGATTAATTCAAGTAGAAAAGCACTTGTGAAAAGTGTCAATTTCAATATTTAAAAGACGATTAGTCTCACACCAAAAAGTGTAGGATATAAATTTGTATACCTTTCATGATTTGTTGGCCTCGAATGCAAATTTCACCGGGTTGATTATAGCCAAGAGAAGAACCAGTTTCAGGGTCAACAACTTTGAGCTCTGCATTTCTTACAACAGTGCCACATGACCCTGATTTTGTTGGGATCGATTGCTTTGCAAATCCCAAGCACATGGATAGCACCGGACCTGCCTCTGTCATGCCGTAACCCTGCACATCCATGCATTTTACGATGTCCCAAGTTTAAAATTTGATTTTGAACACCTTAAAGGAAGACAAATAAATAGCACATATTTATGGTTTATCTACGGCCCACCTTAATTAATTTGAGATATATAAATGTGATAATGATGTTGATGTTTGATTTATGTTGATAATGTCATAAACTTTGCATATGGGATGGGCAACCATCCGGTTGTTTTTTTCATTTATGTTTTTTTTTTTTTTGGGTACAGTTTTTCATTTATGTTTTGCTTAGAAGTTGGCGCAACAAATAGAAAATTTAAAATAAAAATTACTATATTTTTGTATATTTATAAGGAGAATAAAAGACACCTTATTTGTACTCTTAATTTAATTTTTTTTAAGATTACTAATGAATTGAAAAATTAAGTTTAAAAAGTGAATTTTTTTAATTTTTTAAAAAATTATTCTATATGTAATGATAAATTTATTTTAATAAGTAAAATTTAATTCTTGTGAAAATATTAATGTCAGAACAATTGCTTTTGTGGTTCAACAGTAAATAAAATTTCTATGATGTAATTGAATATGACCACATAAAAAATGTTAAAATTTTAGGCAATTAGGACACAGTGCAGACTGCATTGGCACAAAACCTTTGACTGGTCTAGTATTACGTCACCGAGCCAACTCAACTAACCCAAATTACTCCTACGAAGATGATGGTCACGTTGTCGAGTTTGACTACGAGCAACTAATATATATGACACGTGTGCGGCTTGTGCTAACGAAGTCAATATAACCTCCAGTAATAACATATATATTTTTATTCATAATTGAATGACATATAACATTAAGGGGAAGTTTGGTTCAGAAATTTTTTTTGGAATAGCAGGAAAACGAGATAGATAGAAAAATGATTGAAAAGATAGATAAAGTGAGATAGGTAGAAAAATGTAAAAAAAAAGTTGTTTGGTGGGAAAAAACTTTACTGGAAAAATTAGGTAACTTTATGAAATCAACAGTGCATTAAAAGCCAGATAACCGATTTTCCGAAAAATCTCACCTTCAAATTGGGTTTCTAAACAGTGCGGATATCTATGTTTCTCATAAATCCAGACAAATTGGATAGATGGGTTTTTGGTGAAAAACATTGAAACAAACATGGTGTTTCTAAAAGCCATACTTGAGAAAGATAAATATCCACTGAAAAACTCCCAATCAAACACCACCTAAGGGTTTGACCACGAACTTATCTTTCTATATGTTTCGTGGTACGTTAGAACTCTGACGAAAATGTTATTAAAGGATACTGATCAAGTTACAGTTCCAATTTATGCGAGAATAACCCTAAGTACTCAAAAAGTCTAACCACCTCAAGTTGGAAACAAATGGGCATAAAAAAATTGAAGATAAAAAAAAAAAGGAAAACTTATATGATCGGGATCATTTGATCCAGTCCCGGGATACGTAGCCTCAAATAATACCTAGTCTTTGTCGCAGAAAGAAAATGTCACTAAAATATATATCCTGGAGTCAGTCGTATATTACTTCATTGGTACGCTACTTCTTTTTCCTTCAGCTATCCTAATATCCCATATTCTCCGAATCTTTTATTTAATTATCTTGCCAAAAACTAAATTTGTGCCGGCCTTAATTAAATATAACCTTGTTTGGACTAAGATATTTCTATATATGTCTCATTTTAAATGATCCCCTCATATTTGTCATAACTTCTAATGACAAATAAAGATTAACAATTAAAATGATACTTTTCCTTTTTCTACTATACTGTGTTCTTAAATTTAATCTTTTTATTTATTGTGCTTAGAAGAAAATGGTCATTTTAATTAGGGAAAATATTTTCTCCTTTTAAAGGAGAAATTTTTTCTCATGTTAGTGACTCATAGCATAAGTGGATCCCACCTTGAAACTTTATTCTCTCCATTATTTTGTAGGCCCCACTTATATTATGAGTCACTAACATGAGAAAAAATTTCTCCTTTAAAAGGAGAAAATGTTTTCCCTTTTAATTATTAATCATTATTATTATCATTAAAAATTATAAATGAAGGAAGATATTTTCATAGACATGACATGTCCTCCAAACTAAACACATAACATTGGAGGAGAGATGAAAAAACAAATGATAGTAAATAAAACTGGAAAATAGGGCAATCAAGGAAATGTCAAGAACGCCCTCGTTGAATTAATTTGGTCCCCAATCATGGTTGGTCTAACTTGTATTGGAAGAAAGTACCAGCAGAAAATATGGGTGAGGGTATTAAATTAAAGAAAATAATTATCTCATGCAACAAAGATATAAGTAGTGAGATTTACCAATGTGAACTTTAGTCTGTGTTGTATGAGATAATTATGTTACGAGATTAATATATCCCTAAATTAAAATGTTGCAATCATGCAAATAATGGAAAATCAAAGTGAAGCATACCTGTCCCAAAACAGCCTGAGGCACTCTGTTCCGGAGAGCCTCTTCCAACTCCTTTCCCAGCGGCGCAGCCCCTGACAGCACCAACCGGATAGAGCTCAGATCAAACTCCGCCACCATCTGATTCTTCGCAAGAGCCAGCACCAGCGGCGGCACCACCATCGCCACCGTCACCCGATACCGCTGTATCAGATCCAGCAACGTCCCTATCTCAAACTTGTGCATAAGAAGAACCGCACTCCCCGCTCTCAGCGCGCATAACAGCACACTGTTCAGCGAGAATATGTGAAACAACGGAAGCACACATAACAGAACGTCTTCGGTATTCAGATACAGGTTCGGGTTCTCTCCATCCACTTGTTGAGCTACGCTCGTTGTTAAGCTCTTGTGTGTCAGAATCACTCCCTTCGGTAACCCCGTCGTGCCGGAGGAAAACGGAAGCGCCACCGCGTCATCAGGGTTGATCTCCACCTCCGGCACTTCGTTCTCGTTCCCCTCCGAGATCACCGAGAAATGTAGGCAATTCTCCGGCGGGTCGTCGACGGTGATCACCTTGAAGTCTTCCCCGAGTTTCATGTCCTCGTGCTGGCGGAGCTTGTCCACGTACATTGCCTGAGTGATGATTAGCTTCGATTTGGAAGCGGTGAATTGCTTGAAGATCTCGGCGGAGGTGTAGAATGGGTTGGCGGTGGTTGCGACGGCGCCGATCATGGAGGCTGCTATGAAGGAGAAGACAAACTCGGCGCAGTTTTGGAGGAGAATCATGATGACGTCGCCTTTGTGGATGCCGAGGTTGGACAGGCCGGCGGCGATCTTTCGGGAAAAGAGGTGGGTCTCGGCGTAGGTGTATGTTTTGGCGGCGGAGCCGACGATGAGACATGGACGGTCGGCGAATTCGGATAGTTTCTCGAAGCAGTATGTGTGGAGGGGAAGGTGGTTGGAGATGGGTATGTCTGGTAATTTTGATTTGAAGACGTGGGTAGTTTGGGGAGAACAACAAGGTTGGTTTTGGTTTTGGTTTTGGTTCTGGTTTTGGTCTGTAGAAGTAGCATTTTTAGGGGAAGACACTTCTTTGGTGTCAACTGAAGGAGCTACCGTTATCATGGTGTTTTAATGTGTGTTGATTCGGTTAACTCAATCTGTTTTTATAAAAGAACTCAACAAAGGCAGCAGAGAAAAAACTGATTTACGAATTAATGGGAGGGAAATGAAAACTGAAAAAAAAAAAAAGAGTGATAGAAAGATTGAGGAATTTGAAGAGGGGATGTATCCTAATATAAGCCAAAGAATATGGAGAAAACTCAAAGAGAGGGGTTAGGTGAGAATGAATGATCATATTAGTAGATAGAAATGGGACAGCCACGCCTTGTGTCACGTTTCAAAACCAAGCGTTCTTCTTCTAGCCACTCTTACTTACCTACCTACCCCTTTTTCTGTCCTTTTCTCTCTCTCTCTCTCTCTCTCTCTCTCCAATATTAAATTTGTTTTACAAACTGTAAACAAAATGTGGGTCAGCTCTATCCTGCACTTTTGGTAGGCTGTAACTATATAATAAAATATTGGTTGCTGTTCCACGCAGTCGGATTTTTTTGTATTTGGGGTATGGTGCTCGGCTCAAATAGCACTAGCATGTTTAGTTTTTGATATTATTATTTTATCATTAAGAAAGGAAATATGATAAATGAAATTTTAATATCGTAATAATTATTTTTAAATACAAATAAATAAGCATTTAAATGTAGCTGGTCTACGTACAATCATTTTATTAACTTTCAATTCGATTCATCTTACATGGTTGTTTTTATTGATTTGATTTAAATAACTTGTAATGACTTGTCTATGTACGATTTCCTTGTCAATTTTGATGAAAAATTATAAAATAATAATGGATAGTATGTCAATTAGGAAAAGAACACTAATTATAAAGTATTGTATGAAATTTCAATGTAAAAGGGACACTTCTTATGTGAAAACCCTCATTTTCTCCGTGCATGAGATTTGAAAATAGTTTTTATAAATTGTTGAAGGGGAAAAAAACATGTTTAAATTACCATAAACATCCTTCATCTGAAACACCTAGGGAAGGAGGAATTTGAGTGTTTTGGGAGCACCACTCACTGGGAGGGTAAAAAGAGGAAAAAGTGAAAAAATGTGATTTAAAAGGGAAGAATTTTTTTTTTTTCCTTATGAGAAAAATCATCAAAAAATTTCAGTGCTCTGAAACCACTTTAGATTTTTTTTCCCATTAAAGAAAAAAGTCAAAATAATTCTTTTGTGATAAGTTTTGGCAAACAAATATATAAATTCAACAAGAAAATTCTTGCACATTTCATAAAATATTTAACTTCATTTATGAAATATATGTAAATCTTTTGAAAATTCACAAATTGATAAATTTATATACTTGTTGATAAAAAATAGAAAATTCACTTATCCAAAGATAAAAAAAACAGTTTTTTTTTATCATTACTGATATTATAACAGGAGTGTTTTTTATTTTTTAACGAAAATTAAAAATGATTACTCGTTGATAATTTGATATAAGGTGTATCTGTAAATCGTTCGTAGTTCCCAGTTCCCAACATTCTAAACGATAACATCCTGAAGAGAGAGTGGGCAAACACCAGTGAAAATGTTCGGTAAATAATTTGAGTAATAATATTCGGGGAGAGTTATATATTTATATTTACAAATTTTTTGTTTACAAACTAAGTATGTACTCTCGGAAGTACACTCGATTAGTAATGTATATCCGAGAGTACATAGTGTAGTTTGTAAAAATTTATAAAAAAAAATTTGTAAATAGAATCTTTCTCGTGGGGAATGATATATTTACAACTTTTTTCGTTTATAAACTCTTACAACCAAATTTAATTTCCGTCAATATGATGGTTATAATTTATTGAGTCATACTTATTAATTAATTAATTTTTAATAAATCAATAGTTAAGATTTAGTTATATAAGTTTGTAAACCAAAAAAATTGTAAATAAAAAATTTTCCTTCAAATTAATATTTCCTTAAACTTTTTTTTTTCCCGCTTAAATTGTTCACATTTCTTGTATCCAGTGCTCAACATTCATTTATGCATATAGATAGAATTAATTTGATATTTATAAAACCTACGTAGCACCGATACCGACATGGGACACGTGACATGATACGACACGATACTCCGACACGTTAATTCTAAAAATTGTCAGATTTCGACACGTTAGGACATATTTTGATATTAAATAATATTTTTAATTTATGTAGTGAATATTATATTTAATATTCAATAATTTAACAAAAAAATGAATCTAATCTTATAATATTCATAAATTTTGCAAAGAAACATAAGATATCCAAAATATTTATATTAAACTTAATAAAATAATAATCGTAATACAACGAATCTAATAGTTGGAACTAAAAACTCAACGCAACGCAACGCAACCTTTGAACCTTTTTTTGAATTTCCATAACGCGTGTTGGAGTGTCGGGGAGTGTCCGAGTGTCCGAGAGTGTCGGGAAGTGTCGGACACGACACGTCAGGATTTTTGATGTGTCAGTGTTTCATAGTATAAAACCATTTGAATATGTCCGTTCAAATTTTTTCAATTAAAAAGAGTATACACAGCAATTAATACTACTATATTAACAAGGATTCAGTGAGTGTACATTGACTCGATACAAAATTCGATCTAGTGCACTAAGTTCTTCCGCAAGAACACAGTTATAGTAAATATTATAACTTTATTCTTTCTAGAGAACACTAAGAGAACATCATTATAATATTTAGTACACTAAATTCTTGCGAAGAACTTAGTGCACTAGACGGTCCAGTGAATGAATTTTTAATTTTTCCTATTAACGACTAATACATATCATATAAAGACTAAAATAAATATAATGACTCATCACAAATCCACATCACTTGCAGAAGAGTCTCAGTTTTTAATTGGATGTGGTAGTTAGATTGTCAACTAAACTAAGACATGGTCTTGTTTGATGTCTGTATTGAAAGGATATTTGTTAATTTGAGCATGCCTCTCTACCCTCTACTTGTTTTTCAACCAACTGGGTCAACGAATTTGGTTAATTAACATAATTTGGGGAGTTTTTTTTTTTTTTTTTAAATACAAAAATAATCGATCACATGGATAATTGGCTATTTGCAAATGTTCGGTAGTGAATAGAAGTTGGAATATAAAACTCCTCCGAGGCCATTGCTAATAATTTGACGGACGGTTGGTTAGCTTTGTTCTCCTCTCTTTTTCTCTCTTTCTATATATATATATAGGGATAGGATCCTTTGACACTGGTGTCAAATTTAAAGTTTGAGACCTCATCTAAGAGTCGTTAGATCAAAAAAGATCAACGACTCTGATTTGTAAGCATGTGATATCATTGATCTTTTTTGATCTAACAACTCTTAGATGAGGTGTCAAACTTCAAATTTGACACCGGTGTCAAAGGATCCTACCCTATATATATATATATATATATATATATATATGGAAAAACTACTCTTATGTTGTATAAGAGCAGTTTTATCTCTCACACATTTATCGAAAATCGTGATATTTTTTTTTCTTTAAATGACGGGTCCACCATATATGTGTTACAACATGAGAGAAGATCTCTCCTTCAACATAAGATTAAATGAACCCATATATATATATATTGTTTTCCCTAATATTTATCAATTTTATAATTTTCTTATTATTTTTATAAGTTTAAACTTTAGCATAAACTGTTTGTAGTATCTGTTAAAATATAAACTTTTAGTATTTTTTTAATTAACATGAATTTAAGATGAGAATTATTTATATTATTAATTATTATTTATTTAAATTAATTTAATGTCAATTTTTAATTTAATTCAATTTCTATATAAAAAAATTAATACGAACGGAGGAATTTTACCAGCACCTTATCTTGCGGACGGGACAGCTACACTTAAATGGAGTAAATATATAACTAATTTCCACACGGCACATTGCATTTTTATTTTTATTTTTTGTTGCAAAAAAGAGAGGATACATTGCTCTTTCAACCCCGAATATGATCCCCCATTTATTTGTGATTTGACTTGAGTATACTGTTTCAGTTTGACTCAACGGGGAATAACAAAAAAAAATATTTGGATTAAAATGAGATAAAACTTTCTTCATATAAAAAGAAGATGCACAGAATTGGGTGCTAAAGGAGTATATAAAAAAAAAATCCGAAGATGGGAATCGATTTTAATGCACCGGATCATTGAATTCGTTGCTTCTATTTACTAAATAAAGAAAATTTTTAAGACATAACGATAAATATAAAAAAAATATAGATAAAAAGAAAAAAAAGAAGCATCGAGTTTGGTGCTCCCGATGCATTGTAGTTTTTCTTCTTGGTTGTGGAAAATTTCTTCAGCGCTACGCATGCAATGAGTTTTCGGTATATCTTCCACTTATAATATAACACATATTTTACTTTTGTCAGATCATTAATAAATAATTTATTTTAAAATGAGGTAAGAGCATTTGATAAAAAGTAATACATGTGTCATACTGTGAGTGGAAGATGCACCGAAAACTCAATGTATCCATAACACTGAAGATATTCTCCTCGGTTGTGTGGACATATGTACTCTTCTTTTTGTCGGTGCATGAATTAGGGTTGTAAATAGGCTAGGCCTTGACTTAAATAGCCTAGGTCTGACTTGACCTAATCTGTTAGTCTTGCATAAGTCTAAATTATAAGTGTTGCCTGACCTATATTTAAAAAATAAAAGCGTTGGCCTAAACCTTTTAGCTTATTGAAGCTTATTAAACATTCAATGATTAAAATAATATTATTAGTATTGAAACTTATTAAATAATAATTTTATTTAAAACAAATAATATGATATAGGTTGGCCTCGAGTCTTATAAGTCCGACATGTAAAAAAAAAAAACCTACTGCCTACTTTTTAAAGAGATTTTTTTAAAAGCCTAAACATGCTCTTAAGGGTGTAAATGGGCTAGGCCAGCCTACAGGGGCCTACGGCCTAGCCTAATAGGCTAGGCTTGGCCTATTACAAATAGTCAAATAGAATAGGCTAAGGCTTATAAAAAAAAACCTATTTAGAAAACAGGTCAAAGGTTTTTTTTATACATATCGGGTCTATAAACCTACAGGTCGGCCTATATTATATTATTTATATTAAATAAAATTATTATTTTAATAATTTTGAATAATAAAAAAATATTATTTTAGTTATTTTTTAATTATTGAATGTTTAATTGGCTTAAAGAAGCTAACAGGCATATGCCAAGGCTTTTATTTTTTAAATACAGGTCAGTTCAAACTTGTAATCTGGGCCTACAAAAGGTTGAGTCAATCCTAAGGGTTTTTACTTAGGCCTGAACTATTTAAGTCAAAACCTAGCGTAGCCTAGCTTATTTACACCCCTACGGCTGCTCTATTTGACTATATGTAATAGGTCAAGCTAGACCTTATATAGACTAGGCAATAGATCCCTATAGGCTGACCTAGCTCATTTGCACCTCCTATGTATTGTGTTTTTTTTTCATTACAATATTTTTAAAATAATCAATGAAATAAATGTTTCTCGTGTTTTTTTTATGTTTTAAAAGTTAAAAATTAAAATATAAAATAGAAATAACTAAAATATGTTATTTTAATTTGATTCCAAAATGAACAAAGTACCTTTTTGGTTCTCAACAAAAATCACAGGCCTTATTTTAATTCCTTAAAAAAATCGACTTGTGATTCCTATGAAATTCAAAAGACCCATTTAGTCAAAATTCTGGGAGTTAATTTTAGGAAGGAAAGGGACGAGAGGATTTTATTAATCCATTCTCTTGTTTTTAAGTATAAAAAATGAGTTTTGTTAATATCATGTTAAAGTAGATAAGTTATCTCATTTCAAAGAGATAAACTTGTGGGTTCCACCACCTGAAAAAATAAATAAAAAAGAAAAGAAAAAGGTGGCACAATTATCGAAGAGTGTGTAGGAGGAAAAACTTATCTCATGCAGCATGAGAATAGTTTTTCCCATAAAATAATGAGGGAAGAAACCGACATTATAAGAAAATTTTCGAATACCGACAGAATTTATCGATTGAATAAATTTCTTCAAAAATAGTGAAGAAATTTTTGACGAAAATCATATTAAGTCGAAAATAGAGATGAAATTTTTTTTCCGTCGAAAATAAAGATGAAGTTAGAGATGTAACATGATTTAGCCATAATCACTGCATAAAATTTTCACGAAAAAAATTCAGTTAAAATACTTGATAGAATCTAAATTCTGTCGAAACTTTTAATAGAAATATTTTCGTCAAACTGTTCCACGAAAAATATTTTTGTCAAAAATTTCGATGAAACACATTTCCATAGAAAATTTTAGAAGCAAATCAATTCCGTCAAAATTGTTGTCAAAAAACATTTGCATCAAAAAATTTGACGAAAAATAATTCTTTCAAAATTTTCAACATAACACTTTTTCAGCGAAATTTTTTGATGAAAAATATTTCTGTCAAAATTTGAGACGAAAAATATTTCTGTAAACAATTTAGACAAAAATATTTATTTGTCAAATATGGAATCCAAATTTCGTGAAAATATTTGACAAACTAACATATTCGTCAAAACTTTCGACGAAAAACATTTCCAATGAAAAAAATTTACGGAAAATTTTTGCTTAAAAAATTTTGTCAAAAAATATTTCACTAAAAAAAGTTCATGGAAAAAAAATTTCATCAAAATTCTTTATAGAATAGAAATTTTGTCGAAACTTTTTGACAAAAAATATTTCAGTCAAAATTTTCGATCAAAAATATTTCTACCAAAATTTTCAACGGAACATATCTCCGTTGATAATTTTTGACGAAAAATATTTTTGTAAAAGTTTTTGACTAAAAACTTTTCTGTAAAAAATTTTGATACAAAAAAATATTCCGTCAAATTTCTTTACAGAATCTAAATTATGTCGAAAGTTTCGACCAAAACATTTCCGTCAAAATTTTTAACAAAATATTCATTGTTTGCAATGTAAGAATTTCGTCAAAAATATGATCTTTTTCAGTAATGTGTAAAATATATAAATAATTTTGTTTAGAAATTTTAAATTTAATTTAATTGGTAATATATAATTATATTAATTTTAAAAAAAAGGGTAAAATGATCTTATTATCTCTTCAATTTCTGGATACCAAAAAAAAACTCTTCAATTTCTCACTCACCATTTTTGTAACTCTCAAACAAGTGAGAAGAATATCTTTCAATTTCTTTACCTTTCTTCCCCTTGGACCCTCTTCAGTTCCTTTCTTTTCAAACTCTCAAACAAAGCCTTTGGGTCCTAAAAAAAAAAATCCCAAGCCCCATTTTAATTCCTTAGAAAAAAAAACGACTTGTGATTCCTCTGAAATTCAAAATAGACTATGTTAATCAAAATTATGGTCCCTCTGAAATTCAAAGAGGACCCATGTTAGTCCCTCAAAAGGAGTAACATGGATTTATTTTAAATTTCAGATAGACCACGAGTCAACTTTTTTTCTCTAAGGGATTAAACTGGACTCCCTATTATTTGTTGAGGACCCAAAAAATACTTTTCTCTTTTAAAAATTAAAAATAGTTATTATTTTTAGAAAACAAACACTATGAAACATGTTTTTTATGTGTTCTGAAAATTAAAAAATTATTTTTGAATACAAAATTCGAATACATCTTACACTTCTCAATTTCAAGGCTAAAAATAAATTTAGATAATTTAATACAAAAAAACTATTTTTTGTGTAATATAAATAAAAAATTGGTCTTGAAATTCATTGTGAACTAAAATATTAACTTGGGAATCGATTTTTAAAGTTAAAAGTCAAAATATAAAACAGAAATAATTAAAATACATTCTTTTATTTGATTCTAAAAACTGCAAAGCAGATATAATTTTTAAAATTATTTTTTTGACAACGAACACTATCAAACATGTTTTTTATTTTTTTCTGAAAATTAAAAAATTATTTTTGAAAACAGAATTCAAATACATTTAACATTTCTAAATTTCAAGGCTAAAAACAAATTTTGATAATTTAATACCAAAATCTATTTTTTGTGTAATATAAATAAAAAATAAATCTTGAAATCTATTATGAACTAAAATATTTAAACATATATTAATTTCTCATAATTTTCTTCGCAATATAGCCTTATGAAATGAAGAGGGGGAAACTAGTACTTGAGAGAGTACGAGAAGACCACATTTACCCAAGATAAAAGGGTGTGAATATCTAACAAATTAAAATAATGTCCTAGAAGTTGCGTAAATTTTAGTACCGGAACAATTTATCCTTTATTTTTAAGATTGCAAAATGTGGTCCTTTCTTTAAATTTAAAAGGAGATATAGGAAACCACTATTTTCAGGAATAAATAATCATGAAAAATCTTTGAAAAAAGTTTAAAGCTTTAATCTTGAACCTGGCCCGAACTCCGGATTAGTCCATAGAGTATTTTATGATATATTTTTTTTGTTGGACCGGGGGGGGGGGGGGGGATCCAAAAATAATAATAATCATGAAAAACATAAGAGCAGATGCTGATTTATGCAAGAACACAAAAAATGAATCAGTGACAAAAAGTCATGGTTACTAGACAGCTAAAATATGATCTCATTTCTGGAATTATGTTCTAAACAAAACTCATCAGCACCATAGACAGCATAAATTTGGTTCCATTCACTAGTAGCATTAAGATGTTGAATCAAGAGAAAAAAGTAATTATAAACAAACAATAATTCTGACAAAAAGAATGACATATCATGGGAACTGGAATGAACCCCCAATTTGGGTAGAACCAGCAGGGGGATTGATTGCCACGACCAGTAGAGAGATTGTGATTGCTACAAGGCCTGACCATACAAAAACAATGGTAGGTGTCCTCCCTCTTCTTCCCATCAAACCTTTTGCAAAAGGGTAGAGATGAGCCAACACCCAAAAACTGAAGAAAACACCACCCAGTAGACGGCTCCATTGTGGTATCACACTATATATGGTTCTGCTAACTCCAACTGCTATTGCTATTAAGTTAACCATCATAATTGTGATTGGTGGAATCATAAGTGATGTCCATTTCACAATATAGAGATCAGCAAACTCATCATCCACATCATCACCACCAGATTTTGAAGTCAAGGTGAATGAGATTTCAATCCCTGCTACGACTTTGAGCAAACCTTGAAGCACAGCAGCTAGATGGGCACTGGTCCCTCCAATCAACCAAAACTGTTCATTTCTCCACCATTCTTCTAGCTCAATGCCAGACCACTTAATTTCAAGCACTGCAAGTATGGACAAAGTAATAGTGATCCCCAAGAGATAAGAAAGAAATGTAACATTGAGGGTTTGAACAATAAACTGGCCAGTGAAGAGAGATAGTGCTGGAAGGAAGCAGTAGGCAATTAAGAATATGGATGTGAATGGGTAAATTCCAACGTTGAGGTATGCAATTCTTTGAAGAAATTTCATTCTTGGGCTAGCTAGAAGGGCATTGTTTCGCGAAAAAAATATTTCAACTGAGCCAGTAGCCCATCTAAGGACCTGATGCAGCCTGTCAGTGAGATTGATGGGAGCAGTTCCACGGAAGGCATCGCGCTTGGTCACACAGTAAACTGATTTCCATCCCCTATTGTGCATCCTATACCCGGTGACCACATCCTCAGTCACAGACCCATAGATCCATCCAACACGATTTCCCCACTCAGTCTTGTCCTCATACCAACAGGAGATGACACTTATGGCCTCTGCTACAGTTGATGCATCAAGAAGCTCGCGGGGTATGGTGAGAGCACCGGGTGGCCGTCCATTTTTCACCGCAGGGTGATCAGCTAGTGGCCGGCCTTGGAACTCTGCAACTGGAATTGAGTCAATGAGGAAAGTTGAGTTTCCAAACTTCTTAGGGAACAAAGATAGATTCATTTCTTCGTCATCAGAATCACCCATTCTCAGTGCACGACTCTCTTCCGCGGTGCTTGCCATGGATGCATGCTTCTTCTTACGACCAAAGCAACAACTACAGCAACCTGTGTGGTGTTCTTTAGAGCGGGGTGGATCAAAACCGTATAGTGCAATCCGTCTGAAGAGGCAACCAGTTCCCACATAGACTGGCCCTTGAAGTCCATCGAGGGCTCGCATATTGACATCAAAGAAGACAGTATTATGATTAGCATATCTATCTGAGGGATCAATGCCCTCAAACCTCTGGGGAAACTGGACATAACAAAGGCGGTCACCTCCACGATCCATCATAAAGCACATGCCTTCCCTCATTGCCTTTGAGTTGTAGATATAGTGGTCACAGTCTAGATTGAGTATAAAAGGACCATTAGACATTATAGCCGAGGCTCGGACCAAGGCATTCATGGCCCCTGCCTTTTTGTTGTGATCATAGCCTGGACGCTTCTCTCGAGAAACATAAACAAGAAGGGGAAGACGGATATCAACATCAGTCAGGTCAATGAGGTTTGTATCGGCAGAACTTCCTATAAGAGGCTCATCGCTGGGAGGTTTCAACATGACCTGCATCATTCATTAAGAACAAGTTAATTCATCATCACTTATCTTTCAAAGACTAATTAGAAACTTGAACAAAACTCCATGAGGACCTATTTAGTACCTGAATTATACCAGCATGATCACCCTTAGAGTGCTCAGATGTAGGACTCAACCAAGTACCTGGCCAATGAGTTCCATCAGCCATCCATGTTGCTTTTGGAATCTTTACTGTTTCTAAAGGTTCATCCTCCCTGTTTTGTCTCTGAACTTTCATGGCCTTGATTTCCTCTCTTGCATGATAGGCATCTGACCGGCGACGAATAGATTCAGGAAGACTATTGATCCTAACCTTAAACTCATCATATTCACGCTTCACCCGTCTGCGATCCTTGACAAAATCTGGCCGCACTTTGTTTTTGTAAGGGTCTCTCTTCAAGTTGAAGTATGATTCAGGATTCCGGGGCTCTATATCATGTTTACGGCAAAAGGGAACCCATACATTAGCAAAGCTGGCAGCTTCAGCCATTGCCTCAAAGGTTAGAAGGGCACCTCCATCATCAGAAACATAGCAAGAAAGCTTCTCAACAGGGTAATCAGTAGCTAAAATAGACAAGATAGTGTTTGCAGTGACAAGAGGTGGTTCTTTCTCAGGATCAGCAGTGGAGACAAAGATATCTATGCCTGGAAGATCAGACTTTCCAGTAGGATTGTTCGGAGTTGGTGTTTCGAATTTCTCCTTCAGAACATTAAGATCTGTGGAACGATTTACTGGGCATAGTTTGGGCAGCTGATCGAGAAGCCAGGAAAAAGCAAACCATATCTCACAAACAACAGACATGCCCCATAGCCAGACTGCATCAGTATTTTTGTGTTTGATCCTCCATTCCAGGAACAGTGCCAAAACAACCAAACGAACAAAAATGATAAGACTGTAAAAACAGACCCAACAGGAAGAAGGAGATTGTCAGAGCAATTACTTTTCAAGTACATGACTAGTATAAATGATACAATTATACACAATCTAAATAAACACACAAGCAGTCAAAATTTTGAGGACAACATCAGTTTTAAAAGTCAAACTTAACCCCTAGAGACCCAAACCTACACAACACAATACATAAACAAAAAGGATGGGCTGTAACTCACTCAAAATTAAATATAAAATACAAATATACATACATACATACATACATATATATAAATAAATAATTTTTTTTTTTAAAAAAAAAAGCATTAAGACTAAAGGTTTTATACCGATATGGGCTCAGAATAGCAGCAGGTATCTTGAGTTTCCGTGTAAGTGGCCTCCAGGGTCTGCTCATCAACTCAGTTGGCTCAACAGCATCATCCTCTTTTTCATTTCCAAAACCTCCTTCCTTTGGCCATATAGCATTGCCATAGCCATAAGTCCCCTTTGTTTCAAAGAGCCACCTATTATGATCGAAGTCTCCAGTTTGGCTCCTCATTAATCCTGATTTCGTTGACTTCATTATGGACAATCTCCTCTCCATTTTAGACATTCCACTCGGTGGAGGAAGTGGAAGAGGTCGTCCATTATCCATGGCCACATCATCTAGTCCATTATCCATTGCCACTTCATCTAGTTCTGTGTTCTTATATGGCTCCTTGCATCCTGGGCACATCCCATCTCCGGTTTTCACTGCATCTATATAACAATCTCTACATATCTTAAAATCACACTCACATGGAAGAATATCGGCACCACGTTCATCACTCATCACTTTAGAATCACAACCAGGAACTGCACAGGAAGATCCTTTTGCACCAGCCATCTGTGGATGGTTAGCTTCCGATTCTATCACCTTATCCATTAGATGGGCTCGAGTAACACTGTTAAAGCCACCCGTGAAGAGTGAATTTGACACATATTGCTCCTCAACTTTCTGTGAGATTGATACATCCATAGGTTGGTTATCAGGGGTTGGTGGTAAATGCACTGTATAATTCATGTAGTCACCACTCCCTAACTCACTGTCAAGATCATCTCTAGAGTAACTGACGTAGCGACCCGAAGATGTTCTCCGGCCAAATGTCACAGTCGGAGGTAAAGGGGGCTTCTGGCCTTCTTGTGCATCAGACATTGCTGAGAGAGATGATCGGCTTGCCTTGAATGATTTTGACGATCTTGATGCCATAATTGAGAACTAAGACTGATTATAATTTCCTGAAAGTCAGATATTTAGCAAATCAGATCTTCATAAAAAAAAAAAAAAATCAATACAACTCACTAGAAATAAACATACAACATAAAAATTAAATACTAAAACCAAATATCAAAGATGTAAGTACACCTAGGAGTGCTATAATAATAGAGAAGGAAAGACTAAAACTAAGTACACCTAATGAAGGCACATTATTCAAGTATCAAACAACGGAAACAATTTAAAGCTTTTGAATTTTTGTGTGAAAAATTCTATATTATTCTAATAGTGAAAGTATAGTTTGCGATTCTTCCAAAATGAACACCTTTATGATAAAACAAAGCAAAACACCTTTATGATGAAACAAAGCAAAACGCTAGATCTCAGTAAAATATTAGACGAATGTGCAGATAAATATAAAAAAATAAAAATAAAATAGCTGTAGAACAACCAAGTAATCATGAACCATGTTAATTTTCATGTGGTGTGATTGCCCTCCCAAAAAAATAAAATAAAATAAAAATGGAAAAGATAAGAGAGAACAGATTCACCCGAATCTGTACAGAGATGCAGACACTCAACCCATGGACATTTAGTTCAATAAATCACTAGTAGAAGATCCCAAAATCTTTTTCTTTTCAATTCCAACAATTTTTCAGCAACAAAACCAACTGAAAGAGCTCAGAGCACGACTAGATTCTGAGGAAAATGTGTTCAATCCTTCTAAACAAAAGCTGAGGAAAAAAAAAAGACAATGATGTCCCTAACCAGCAACCACAGTGTCATCTATCAAGTCAGCCTAAGTTGTTGAACCCCTTTGACTTCCCTGCTTTGATGAACCCACAAATCATCGTAAATCCAAAATTCAAGAAATGAATTTTTAAAAAATCAAGAATTTTTTTTGCTGAAATCCCATTTTCCACTGATTTTCTCATTTTTTTTTTCCTTCTAAATCTCAGCTCATTACACATGCTAGAAAAGCCATCAAGTAAAGTTTATACCTTTGACTAGAAAAGTACTTATGAATACATATCTCACAAAGGGGTAATGCAGACAGTGCCCACAAGATGAAAGATGAAAGATGAAGCTTACCTCTTAGTTTAAAAAATTAAATGCTACTTGGTTTCAGATCTCTGTGTATAATGATCTTATCTGAAAGCCATGACAAGAGATGGGCTTCAACTGTGTTTGAATCTGATGGAAAGCTTCAAAATATTGAACTTGGTCGTGTCAGCTTATAGGTTTACCCAAACGCGCTCACACATACGCGCACAGACAGAAAGAGAGAGACTTAGTCCGGACCAAAAGTACAAGCACTACCGTGCCGTGATTCAAGGATTTCATGTGCCACTAAAACTATTTTTTTTATTGTTCTTATCTATTTTATTTTGTGTGTTTACGAAAAAAAGTGTGTCATTTTTTAGTATGTAAAATTGTGTCATTTATGTTATAAAAAAAAAAAAAATTATGTCATTTAAAGAGAGATAGATAAAGGAAGTGAAATAGTTGACAAAAAAAATAAAAGTGTGGGTCTCACCTCTTTATGAGAGTGAAAGGATATAAGTTGTGTCATTTAAAACGATAAACATTTTTTCCTTATTATTAACACTCTTAAATCACGCTGTTCATTAATTGCTTTTTAATAATTTAAAATTTTAAAAAAATTTATATTTATAATTTATTTTCGTTTATAATCTCTTGTAATCACATTTTGATCGTTGATTTTCATCAATTTAATAATTATAATTTATTGTGTCATATTTATTAATTAATTTTTAATAAATCATAACCGTTAGATTAACTAAAATCAACTATTAAGATGTAATTGATTGTAAATAAAATTAGGTTGTAAGTATATTATTATTTTTTAAATTTAAATTATATATTCTTGTTTATGTAATTATGTTTAGTTGAATAATTCAAAAATTGATTAAGATAATAACAATAAAATATAGATATATACTCTAAAGTCACTTGGGAGGCCAAGCGAAAGCGATCCTGATCAGTATTTTTTTACCATAATAAAGATTCGTGAACTTTTGCTGTCAATTTATTAGTAAAATTAAAGTCTATTATTCCCCGCCCCAAAAACAAGATTTTACCACCTTAAAAAGGAAAAAGATTTTGGGTGAAGATTTTGTTACCATCACTATTTTTTAATTTTATATTTTCCTATTTATGTTTCATTTATTATTATTTAATCTTGTATAAAGTTATAGATTCATTGAAGACGTCAATGTATTATTGGTTTGCAGAATACTTACTTTACCGATTGTGTTGAAAAATCGCGTAATTGTGTGTCTTTATTTAAGTTTAAATTAAAATGTGTTGGTTTTGGGGATTTGTGTCACTGTGTGTTCAATCTTATCTATAGTTTAATAAGAATAGTTATATTTACAAATTTAAAATTTATAAATTCTTACAAATTATTATATATTATAGATAATATGTATTATTTATAATATCTAATGTAATTTGTAAGAATTTATAAATATAGCTTATCTCTAGTTTAATTATGCCAAATAAAGCTTCGAAGTGCTCAACCGTTTTACTTTTGAGCAGCAAAATTTTAATTTGAAAACTATAATTAAGTTTGAAACAGTTATCTACTGAAGATTTCAAATTTAAATGAGACTATGTAAACAATACTATGACTTTTTCTGCATATAATTTAATTTATTTTTATCTTATGAATGAAATTGACAGGTAGAATTATAATTCTCAAGAAAAAAAAGAGTTGAAGCACCTCTCGACTCCAACTCATTCAACGCATAAATGAATAATTTGACCAAAACAAAAAAACAGCGTTTTAGGTAAAGGCGCTGACACGTTAAGCCAAAGGCGATGCTGGCTGTGACAACGCTGTTAACATGTTTAGAATTAGATTACTTGCACGCCGTTTCTTCTCCTTGAAAACGTTACATGTTTTCTTCTTTTCTATTATTTATTCATTGAAATTGAATTTGCCAACTCTGTGTGGAATGATTGTGATTTGTGATACAAGTTGGGCGTAGTCACATCTCACATGGTTTCTGTATCGAATATATTAAATGTTACTTTCTAATGTGACATGACAGCGTTACCAAACGCGTTCCATCCTGTACGTGTTCATATGCAGCAATTTATTTATTTTATTTATATTTTTCAATTTTGAATCAAGTCCATTGCTATTTGCTAGTGCTAGCAATGCAATTGATTAGCTCACTCTCAGTGGCTGAAAGCACGATGGTTTTCCGATGCTTCCTACTCCTAGGTTTCAGGTATGTATGTTTTTCAGGTGTCTAATGACTTATGGTAAAGACATTAATAATTAGTAGATACTCTAAATAAAACCTTGCTGACCTGACACTACTAGATAATTCATCATCAAGAACATTATATTTAATGTTTATAAGTAAAATTGAATCATCCATTCTAAGACTAATTATTTCATGTATACATTAATGTTTATAAGTTAATATGTGAATGAGAGTGGAGAGCTAGTGGGAATGAAATAGATGCTACTTAAGGGCAAGCATATGTATCGATAGGGTATTTATTTCATGTACTCAATGTCCTTCCCATGATATTCCCTCAATAGACGGAAATTACTGGGTACCCAACAAGTATAATATATACGTTACTTTCAATGTTTTTTCAAAGTTTCAATCAATTAATCAGTAATTGCACAATATGGTTACTGCATTTCTTTTGAAACGACCACGAAAGAAAAGCAGCTTTTTTCTCTTCTGATTTGTTTCAGATAAATATCAAGCATAATATAAAGAAAAAGTATTTTCTCATGTCGTAGGAGCATAGTTATTAAAACCGAACTGACTCGGGAACCGATAAACCGGTCCGGTTGAAGTAACGGACCGGCCATGCATCAGAACCGGTGCGACCCGGTCCGACCCGACCGATTTTCATAAAAAACCGATGACCCGGCCCAGTCCAAAAAAAAAATCATAATGGACATATTTGAATATTTTTTTGCTTATTGACTTACATAAGTTATGTATCTACAACACTAATATTATCTCAATTATGTACTATGTAGAAAATTTTGAATTAATTTATAGTTAGACATGTCGCTTTCTGAACCTAAAATCTCGTATCACGATCATTATATCTTTGTTTGATCTTTAATTGGATAATAATATGTGATTTAGTATTTTTTATATTAAAATATTTGAAATTTTTATCATTTTTTTAGATATTTGAGTATGTTTATAATTTCTTAATATCAACATCAACATCAACAACACATTTATCCCAAATTAATTGGGGTCGGTGGTAGATGAACCCACATGAAAGATACAAAACGGTTGAAAAAAAAAATAAAAAAAATAAAAAAAATAAAAAAATAAAAAAAATAAAAAAAATAAAAAAAATAAACAAATAAAATAAAAATATAAAATAAGATAAAATAAAATAACAACATATGTATATATAAATAAATAAAAGTAAAAAAGAAAGGGACAAGAAGAAGTGGGGGAAATGAAGGGGAAATGAAGGGGAAAATGACTAAAAAGGGACCATCTGGAACATAGGAATAACAGCGGGTCTAACCCTCCACCATACTTATAGCTTTTCTCCATTCCGTTCTAAGACATATTGTCCGCCAATCTATATCCCACTCCATTAAATCTTGTTTTACTACTTTCCCCCAAGTAAGCTTCGGTCTACCTCTGCCTCTTTTTGTGTTGAGCTCTTGGTAACAAACTTCTGTTCTTACAGGAGCATCCATGGGTCTTCTCATCACGTGCCCAAACCACCTCAATCTATGTTCTCTCATCTTCTCAGCTACCGGTACTACTCCGACCTTTCGTCGAATATCTTCATTTCTTATCTTATCCATTCTTGTGTAACCACACATCCACCTTAACATCCTCATCTCTGCTACTCCCATCTTATGCTCATGTTGCCTATGTGCTGGCCAGCATTCTGCTCCATATAGCATTGCCGGTCTTACTGCCGTTTTATAGAATTTTCCTTTTAACTTCAGGGGGATTTTGCGGTCACACAAAAAAGCAGATGCACTGCGCCATTTCATCCACCCTTCTCTGATTCTGTGATTTACATCCTCATCAATCTCTCCACCGTTTTGTAAAATGGAGCCCAAGTATTTAAAAGCATCTTTTTTGGGTACCTCTTGACCATTTAGATGCACAGGTTCTTGGTCCTCATCTCGTACCAAAGAAAACTCACACTTCAGATACTCAATCTTGCTTCGACTTAATGTGAATCCTCTGGATTCCAATGTGCTTCTCCACAATTCAAGTTTTCTATTAACACCCTCCTTGCTCTCATCAATAAGCACAATATCGTCTGCAAAAAGCATACACCATGGCACTTCCTCTTGAATATCTTTTGTTAGTTCATCCATAACTAAGGCAAAGAGGTAAGGACTTAGAGTCGACCCTTGGTGTACACCTACCGTGATAGGAAAATAACTTGATGATCCGTTACAAGCTTTTACACATGTAGTAGCCCCATCATACATATCCTTGATTGCCTTTACATACTTTAATGGAACCTTTTTCTTCTCCAGGACCCACCATAAAACTTTCCTTGGAACCCTATCGTATGCTTTCTCAAGGTCTATGAACACCATATGCAAGTCCTTTTTCTTTTCTCGGTATCTTTCCATTAGTTGTCGCATCAAGAAAATTGCTTCCATGGTACATCTTCCTGGCATAAATCCAAATTGATTTACAGAAACCTTGGTATCTCTCCTCAAGCGATGTTCAATAACCCTCTCCCACAACTTCATAGTATGGCTCATTAGCTTAATGCCTCTATAGTTTGAACAATTTTGTATATCTCCCTTGTTTTTGTAGATAGGCACAATCATACTTTTCCTCCATACATCAGGCATCTTATTCGTCTGGAGAATCTTATTAAAAAGATTGGTCAACCATTTTATTGCCACATCCCCCAGGCCTCTCCACACTTCAATAGGGACACCATCAGGCCCTAAGGCTTTATTAGTCTTCACCCTCTTTAAAGCCTCCTTAACTTCATGTGTATTAATTCTGCGTACAAATCTTCTATTCATATCATCACACGCGTCCTCTAAGTCCACCTCGCTTGTATCTCCATCCCCATTATACAGCTTGTTGAAGTATTTCAACCACCTTTCATTTACATCTTAATATAAATTATAAAATTGCATATAATTACCGAGTCATGCGATTGAACCAGTGACCCACTGGTTGAACCAGTGACCCAGTACCTCGACCGGGTCGATGACCGGACTGGTTTTAATAACGTTGCGTAGGAGAGTTATTTTCTCCTACTAGTGACCCTTTGATTTTTGTGTAATATTTTCTTTTGCTTTTTTATTTTTTAATAGATGTGGGCCCCACATAAAATGTGTCTACAACATGAGAAAATTTTCTCCTACGACATGAGAAAATCGAAACCCTAATATAAATTAGGGTAAACCTACCATCATGTAACATAATCTAAAGCATTTTTTCTACTCAAACAAAAATTATGTGGGTTCTATACATAAAATAAAAACAAAAAATAAAAAATGCTGGTGCGGAAACCAATGGGTGAGTAGATACATTTTTTTATATCATGTTACATAATATTAGTTTTCCCCTATAAAGTAATATTGGGAACATTTGTCCTGGCTTGTACAAAGATTATCTGATGCCAGCTTCAATTACCATGTTTGGATCTGTTTGGTATAGGTTTTATTTTGAGTTTGATGGGAAAGTGAAAATGGGTATTGAGAAATACCATGTTTGGTACAAGTTTGCAAAAAAAATAAAAAATACTAGGAGATTAGGAAGCATAGGAAACTCTTTTTGTGTTGATTTTTACTATTCCAAAAAACCATTTAAGATATGGTATTTTGAGATAGATGGAGAAGTGAAAAAATGGGAAAAAAGTTATGGACCAAATTGACCATCATAGTGAGTGACTTCACTTCAACAAAAAATTTATAATGGGGGTATTTTTCGTCAATTTAACCTATTTTCCCATCATTATTTTACATTCAACCAAACATAGACTTTGCAAATTTAAATAAATTTTTTCAGTAATATTTCGGTCAACCAAACAACTTTTTTTAAATTTTTCTATCAAACTTACTTTCCTACCATTTCTCCAGTAATTATATTTCCCTAGTAAAAAAAAATTTCTCCTCTACCAAACGCCTCCTTAAAAAAATAACCAGTTTCCTGTTGAATCCATATCTGGCATTCTTCATTTATTAAAAGGGATTTATTTATCTCACGTTGCATGAGATAATTATCTCATGCAACAGAGACAAGATAGTGAGGTTCACTATTTTTAACAAAAAGAAAAAGAAAAAATAGTGAACCTTATTAATTTGTCTCTATTGCATGAGATAATTATCTGATGGAACATGAAATAATTAATTTCCTTATTAAAATCTGAGACGAGAAACCAGGCACGCTCGTCACAACCCATGAGCATGCCCCAAATGGTGGTATGAAAAGTATCATAATATTTTATTATTTATTTATTAAAAATATGTTTTTTTTTTTAATTTGTAACAATAATATTTTAATTTTTTTTAACATACAATATTATTGGTTATGGCTCATACTTCGCATGCTGATGAGGGCTTTGTTGTTGGGGTCAGCAGAAAGACAACTCTTATGGGTAATATTGTAAAACACGGACCGGACCAGCCGGTTCAACCCGAAAACCGGTAAATTGATGATCTTACCCGTTCGGGTAAGCTAAATGATCGAACATGCAAGCCAACTGGTGTAACCGGTTGCAACTTGGGCAGATTTTATTAAAATCGATGACCCGCTAGTTCACCGAATCCGACCGGTCTTTGCCTTTCATGGCCTTGAGATGGAGGGGTTCGCAGGTCTAGTGGCGGAGGGCACAAAAATGAAGAAAAGAAAAATGAGTTATAACAACAAACAAGAATCTAGTTGCCATGTTCGTCAAGAATGAGTTGCCTCAAATGCTTGCTTCTCTTCTTTAGGCGGACTCAGATATGGTGTTTAAGGGTTTATGCACTTTTCATCGTGACTCCTCTATACTTTGAGCTTCGTGATCTTGGTACTCGTCGACTCTTCTTCATGGGTTATGAAACTTCCACCGATTTTCCAAAGAATAGAAAATGCTTAAAGTTTTGCTTGGCTGGTGTAACAAAGATTTGAAAATGTTCTATTCTGGTGATCTCTTTTCATGGTGTAATAGTGGGTTACAGAATGTTGTTCTCTCCACCGAATAGAAAATGTTATGTTCTAAAAAAAAAGAATAGAAAAGGTAAAGTGGGTGAATGAATGTGAAAAGACAAGAAAGAAGAAAATGTGCATTGATACAAGTTTCGAGAAAGTGTGCACACTAAAATTGATTTAGGGATTGGGAGGGGCTCTAGATAATCAAAAATTTGAAACTTAAAAATTGATTTTGTTTTGATTTTATTTGCCACATTTTTTACTGAATTTTAATTTTTGGGCTTTAATAAGTGGGCTAATTAGCTTAGCCCAAAACAAAGAGCCATTTTGTAAGGAAAAAACAAGCCCATTAGGAGTTGGGCACTATTTAAGTAAATTAAGGATTTATTATTTTTATATTAGAATATTTGGAACTGATATTATTTTTAAATGTATTTGAGTATGTTTATATTTTTTTTAATATAAATTATAGATTTATAAATACTTATCGGGTCGTGCTGTTCAACCAGTGACCCAATACCTCGATAGGTTCAATAATCGAGTGAATATAGTACAGACAGACAAGACATAGCCTCCAATGTTTTTGTCAAGGGGAAGCCCGTGGCAGGGGTCACCACCAATGGGCTAAGCTACACCAACCGTAGCAAGTAAGTCGGACACCATGTCTCAACCCAAAACCTTAAGGCATTGAGTTCATGAGTCTATCCACTTATATTCACTTCACTTAACCCATTATTAGCCATATGAGACTTATCACACTTGAATATCTCAACAGATATCAATAGTTGTTCAATTAATTGCTGCTACACAACATCAGCAGCTGAGGACTCTACAACTTCCTTAAAAGTCAATGGCTAAAGGACAAGCACAAGCTTATAGCTACATCTACGGAACATAGCCCGATATTCGGCATCCCGCATTCAAGATCACCTAAGTCGTCATAACCAAAACGCTCAACTACTATATAAACATGACACTAAACCCATATTATCATCTATCCATTCAGACTTAAATACATGATATATCTACTGTTTTGAACGTTGGAGTGTCTTACATGTACCTCTTCCATCTCTCTAATCAATACCATGAACCACAACCAGATCTCTCATCCCGTTGCTCAGTCATACATCTTGTAGGAGTTTCATCTCGCAGCACCAACCCCAGCAAAAATCCAAATATTCAATGAACCAGGTTCAAGAGTGTGTGATCTAATTCAATAGTTACTTGACTCATCAACCATCAATGTACAACTCACTATAAAAAAACACTTGAAACCTGGGGGGGAAAAAAAAATCTAAACTAGAAAGAAAACTACTACAACTACTACGCGGGCCTAAACCAAACTTCCAACATTTTTCACCAGCTGTGGTGTCTGAACTGTCCTACTGATATTGGTTTCTGCTTCTATGCTTTGGATTTTGCAATAAAAACCAGATTTCTTAAGAATTGTACTGTTTCCGAAAAAATCAACATCAGGCAATCTATTAGCTGGCAATTGAACCAGCAATGTTCCCATCAAAGGTACCTTTTTAAAACAAATCTTTTGAAGTTTAAAACTGGCAAGTGGTAACAGATAATATTATTATATATTTCGCAAGACAACCCCGGATAATGTACCTCGAATTGGACCGACCGACCAGGACATCATGTGTATCTTCCCTTTTCTTGGAGAACCTATTTTTTATATTAAATTTTTTGAGTCGGTAAGATTGGGAAATTTGTAGTTATGAATCTTGTATTACCGGGGAATATAGAATGACAATGGGCCTGAACCTAAGCCCTTTGCTTTTACCCCTATGGTTCAGTTAGTGTAATTGAGCTGCGCAAAAATGCTTCAGTAATAGCAAAATAGTTGTGACTCCGGGAGAAGGGCGTACAAAAGACCAAAACAAGAAAGAGCGAGAAGGGGGCGACAATGGAAAGGCTTAGGTAGATGGAGTAGAGTTCTAGTTTGGCGCTTCCATACATCAACAAGAATCGCAGTTATGAGTAAACAGATCATAAAGAATATGAGCAACAGATCATTGAAATTCTCCAGAAAGTTTCCCATCTATACCTTGTCACGAACTTATATACCATAATTCAAACACAAGTTGCACAGAATGTGCCAAAAATAAAATAAAAAATAAAAAATGGAAGGTGCAATCTGAAATTCTGAACAAAGTTCGCAATCAACATCTAGATATAAAAGTAGCGAGATATTAAAGGCACTCTGTCCTATCTTCAAGGTTGATTAGTAGTGCAGCTTAGAGGGAGATGAGATCATCTTTCGATGATTGCTGCTTCTTTGTATCGTGTCCACCATCTGCTGATGCATCCCCACTTTTTTTCCCAAATATCATCTCATCAAGATCATCCATCATGTCATCATTGCTACCACCCTGGACACCAGTTCTTGATCCAGCTGGCTTTCTAATCAAGGCATCTTCTTTAGTATGAGGTGACTCATCTGGCTCAACAGCAACTGGTATCATAGCTGGTTCAGGATGAAGTGGGACATCTGTAGGCTTCTTCAACTCTTCATAATTGGTGAGAACCTTCACAATCTCATCATTAACATTCAAGGCCTCAAAAAGCAGTGCTTCATTATCCCCGGCAGTTTCAATAATTCGCTGGACAGAAGATTGAGAGCGACGACACTGCTGTACAAGTGTGGTGGTCAAATCATCCTGCAGATGGAAAAACAGATCACACTTATATTTCCATAATTCACCGATGCCTGATACAATATGGTTCTTCCCTAACAAGGAAATTCACATGGCTAAAACTGACACATTCCTCATTTGGAACTTACAAGGAAATAAAGCAAAAAAAAGAGAGGCTCAAAACAATACAAAACAACTTTCCTCAATTTTCTGTTGGGGGTGGGAGGGAGGTTGGACAGATGACCAAAAATTACAAGAGGCCATGATCACGTTAGCATTAGCAATGCACCACACACCAAATTGAGATTGACTACTTTGTAACTATCTTCACAATTAAACATATTAGGATAAGTTCTTGCTTGGGATGTCCAGTAAAGTAAATGGATAATAAATAGCGTAGCACATCACTTCAACACCCATCAGTACATCTTAATAACCCATACAGTCAACCCAAATAAACAATAGCCATCATCATTTTATCATGGCCTTGGGGAGTGAAGGGAAGGGAAGGTGGTGGGGGTGGGGAGAGCTCATTACTAGAGGTGTGGTTGTTGTTATCAATAAAAAAACTTCTGCAAAAACAATACCAAGCACTGGCAGCACATTTTTTAAAAAGAGAATATCAATACTACAGTAACTGAAAATATCAATAAATTAGTTTCCTCAATTGTTTCAATAGAATATCAATTTTCAAAAGTATATTTTTATGTTTTACAACAATTTTTTTTACATATCCATATTTCAAAAATAATAATAATAATAATCATCTAAACAAAAATAAATTAAAGGATTTTAATTTACATATAACACTCAAGAATATTTTTATCACTATATATAAAAAATGTTTTAAAAGAGAATTATTTAAACAGTAATGTTCAAGATAAACATCACATGGGTCAGAATAAAAATAACTCACCAGATAAAATTTATAGAACTAAGTTAAGATAATACCCCAAGGGAGCAATTCGATAGGCAAACATTCCACAGCCATGGCATATTGGCATCTCAGAAAGAATGAATCTACATCTGTCAATAGATCATGAAAGAGCCAGCAGCCAGCTAGTAGGGCAAACTGACACGATTTTTAGGATTAAAAACATTTCAATGTCATCTAACTAGTGCATCTTGGGATATATTATTTTGTAGAGGTAATTAGTTATAAAAAGAAAATGATTTGTAACAAACAGCTGATCAAGTTCGAATCTTAAATAACTTTCACTTTGTTATAAGGCATTCTGCAAAGCCAAAAGTGAAATGTGGAATATTCTCGTTGAACTCCTAAATGATGTTGTGTTAACGGTCAAACGGCCCAAATATCAGAATAGGTATAACATCAAAATATTAATGCAGGGGATTTAACACCATTATATGTGTAAAATATGATATATGCTAAGTGCATTTACTAAAAGCACAAAACCATACACCAAAACTATGGTCATGGTCTGGTGAATATAAAGTAAAATCTCAAGAGATGAAAGGTCAATGCAATATGTTGGCTATTAATTGCAAAAGCAAATAAAGTTTTATAAAAAATAACACTTTTTAGTCCAAAACATTCATCACAACTAAAAAATACCTGTAAAACATCCTGTTGCGGTGAAGATGATAACACAGTAGAAAGAAGTTCAATGCTATTTCTTGCAACATCAAAGGCTTCCTTTGTTTGTTCAGGCGTAAAACTTTGAACAGGAACGTCATTCTGAAACTCTGGTGGAAGATCAACATCAGCCTCTGGAGCAGACACCGAACGAGGAGGAGTAAAAATAGGAGCCAAGCTTTCATTGTCACGACCAGGGAACCGAATACCCCTTGATCTCAGACTCTGGAGCAGAAAAGTGGCAGTTCAAAAAAAAAGAAAGTATGCTCATACATAATTGCTAACCAGAAGAGGAATTCAATTTAGGTGAATTATTTATCTCAAAAAATAAGAAGGGAAACTTTGCCATAACAATTGGTGTTATTGTCATGTGATCTAAAAAGTCACAAGTTCGATTCATGTAATCAGTCTCTTGACCTTGTGCATAGTGAGAGATTTATAGTACCAGGCTGCCCTTTAAATTTATCTAAATAATAAAATTGAACATATTAAGCTTCTCTACAGGCTCCAATCCAAACAATTTTAGAGTTGATCTAATGAAAAGTGTGGTATGCAATAAAAGGAAAGCGTGGTGCTATAAATATAAAGTCTAGGGAAGGGTCTATGTAATCAGTCTTATCTTGCATTTGCAAGAGAGGCCAATTACATGATCCAACCTGTGACCTCTGGGTCACATAGCAACAACACCAACAGTTGTGACAATACTATCATTCGAAGAGTGTGGTATATAAATAAAATAAAAATAGAACCAACCTTGTAAGTTTCTTCATAAACAGGGAGATAGCGGAGCTCTCCGGTGGACTCTCCCCACGCCTCAATCATGGTCAAAGCCTTGTTGCGGTTATTAACAACAGTTTGAGGATCATCAATGAGCCTCACCATCTCATCAAGGACTCTCTCCGCTGCCACCTCGGAGAAAGCCTTCTCACAATTCTTAACACATGTTTCAAGCAAAACCAAAGAGAGATACTGAACCCTAGGGCTCTTGATCATGATCCGTTTCTTAATTCCACGGATCAAATCAACACTGTTGACCTTCTCAGTGTTGATCAAGTCACAGATATCAAGATTCATTGCCCAATCAGGCTCATCAAGGGCCTCAGAGGTAGCATCCTCAACAATCTTATCAACCTGATTGGGACCCTGGAAGAACTCCTTCACTTTGAAGCTCATGGAACTCACGCCCGCACTCATCTTGCGACCCACCTCAACCCCTCCTATTTTCAAACGCTCTCCCAAAGCGTTCACTTTTTCCATCAAATTATTGTCAGCCATCTCACAACCTTCCCCCCCCTTTTTTTTTTGAACTATCTAATTTCAGCACTCGCAAATCACAAATACCTATTTCTGTTGATAGTTATATAATCCCCTCCTTCCCAGTAACTAATGCGTTATCGAAATTGTTTGGATCAAAAACACACAAGAGATGAGAAAAAAACAAAACCTAAAAGGGTTGATTGATTCGTAGAGCAAAGAAGATCAGACCTGAGCTTGGAGTTGAAAGTTGAGAACTGAAAAAGGGTTTGGTGGAGACAACGCGTAAGGACTCGGTAAAGTCTTGGAGAAGAGTCCCCTTTCTCGTGAGTCAGTCTCTCTCTTTCTCTCTCTGTTTTTTTAGATAATGATATTTTTAAGTTACTTAATGTAGTGGGTAAATCCCGTTTTAAAATTGAGTTATTTTAAATGATATAAGTTATGTCATTTTAGGAAAGAGATAGACACAGAAAAATAGAAATCATAAGAAAAAGAAAGTGGGTGGTTTGTTTAATTTAAAATGACAAACACTTTTTCCTTTGAAATAAAATTATTTTTAAAGTTATTTCCAAAAAAAAAAAAGATTATTTTTAAAGTTGAGGAAAGAAATTTTTTGAAGGAATAATTATCTTCAATTAATTTTGATTATATTATAAATTTAATTTGTTTCTTAAAAAATAACATACTTTTTTAAATTAATTATTTCAATATAGAGGCTAATATGAAATCTCATAAAATAATAACAAAAATATTATAATTTTTTTAAATTTCTTCGTCAATTTTTCAATTATTCGATTCAACAAATGAAATATTATAAATAATGACATTCACTGCCACAATTTAGTGAGATTAAACTCTTATTGCTTTAATTCATCCCTATAAACAATGGGAAACTTTATATTATTTCACTCTCACAAAGATGTGAGACTTATACTTTTAAAATTTTTCTCACTTATTCTCTCTCTCATAATTTATCTCTTTCTCTCATTTAAAATAATACAACTTTATGTCTTTCAAAATAATACACACTTCTTCCATAAACAATAGATTCGTTGGCATAAAAACCAAACTCACTTGTTACTCTCTCCCTCTTTTTTTCCTCATTGGTTTGCTTAATTAGTTGTGTGCCGTGTTGCTGAAGCAAGGATGCCAGGCCAATCTTAGGATTTTGAATGGAGAAATTTCTTGTGCCTCAAATTTCGTCTTCACCTTTTAAATGTAATCTTTTTCACACTCTTAACTCCCAAATTTCATTTTCTTCGTTTTCAGAGATTATATTTTCATATTTAATTTTTTTAAAACACGTTTTATTTGAAAATAATTTTCTATCATAAAACGAAACAAAAACCAGATACCATCTAATCCTTTACGCAATTATTGGGGAGTGGGATATTGTGATTGTTAAACAAAGCCGTGCAGGACAGGCCAAAAGAATAGGTGATGTACCATCCATCTGCTCCATTTTCATATTTGTTTAGAAGTTTTATATTTTAATTGAGGGGCTTACACAATTTCATAATTGAGAGAATGCAGTATCATTATGTCATTTACAAACTTAACCAAACCAATTACAGTTTGTTCATGTTTTACATGATACTATAATTGAAAATTATATATTAAAAAGAGTAGTTACTTTCATGTTTTATTAAAAAGAATTACAACTATTTCCCTAGCCTCCTTGACACACAGGACACCTTTACTTTCTTTGGTTCATTGCATTGGTGTGTGTCTATATATAAAATTATTTTCCATTTTAAATAACATAATTTTATATCATTTTTCAAGAAACTATGTCGTTTTGGTATATTTTTGTATTCTTTATTCTTTATTTTGTTTTCTTCCTAATTTTATAAAAAATAGAAACTATAAAAAAATATCAAAAACACACAAAACAATGTAGTTTAATAAAAAATAACATAAAGTTGTGTCATTTAAAATAAAAAATATTTTTTTCATATATATATATATATATATATATATATATACATAGAGAGAGAGAATATGATATTACGCCTACCTTTTTCCATACCTAATTTATATACTTCTCTCTAACACTATTATATTATAATCTCAACTAACCTTCATTGTTTCTCTTTCCTTTTGAGATTCTCATCCAACGATAATGGAGATGGATAAATAAGGTAGGTATGCAAAATAAGTAGGCACAATATATGGGGAGATATCTTGTGACTCAAGTATAAGAATGAGAAGTGTTCCGGGTTCGGCATATGGGCTTAGACAAGCCCAAATAGAGCCCACATCAGAGTTAGGGCTTAGGGATAAGGTATGTTGTACAAGCCCGGAACCCGGACAATGAACCAGGAACGTGCATAAGACCCAATCAGTAATGGCATTAAAGGGCCCTACCATGATCTCCATGATAGAGTACCAGTAACTACCCACCACTATCCTAATTGTTTATTATAGCATATATAAAAGGGAAAAACCCCATAACAAATACACAAGATATCAGATTACCCATTAATGTTCGTCCAGAACATTTGGCGCCGTCTGTAGGAAATGAAAAACTATTCCTACCTTTTTCCATGGCTAGTAACAATCGTGAGGAGCGGAGAGCAAAGAATGGTAATATTGTTGGAGAAGAAGAAGAAAATTCTTTCCAATCCAATGGGAGGAGCCGTTCTTTGAACACAATTGGACAAGCTTTAATCCAGTTAGCAAAACACATAAGGAACAAACATCACCAGGAGGGAAGGAGAATGAGACATCATTCTAAAGAAATACCAGACCAGGAGAATGGGCAACATTACAGAACTAGGAGAGGGGGTTCTCAGTCCCCACTTCCTAGTTATATTTCGTTATCTCATCCGGGAGATGAAGGGAATAAAGGATAAGAGAATCGTCGGTGGCAACCTTCGAGGGAGTCGAGAAGCCCTCCAGAAAGCATGAATGACCGGGGTAGAGGACGAGGGATGAACCGGAGAAACGAAGAGCGAGTACATATGGTTAATACCCGGGAGGCAGGAAGGAGATGGCGATATCAAGAAGGCTGGCAATCGGGTTACGACTAGCAGGATGTTCGAGAGGAAAATCATGAGGCAAGCCGCCAATACTACAGAACAGTGACCATTTTGCCACGCTTTGGCAAAAAAATTACCAGAATGCCACGCGAACAGTAAAATTTCCCAAACTGCCACGCGGCATAATTCGCTACACAATGTAGCGAATTTCAACAATTTTGACACATGACACTTTTTGGTTCTGACGTGGCATATTTCGCTACACTGTGTAGCGAATTAGTAATTCGCTACACAAGAATTAGTAATTCGCTACACAGTGTAGCGAAATATGCAACGTGGCAGTTTGGGAAATTTTACTGTTCGCGTGGCATTCTGGTAATTTTTTTGCCAAAGCATGGCATTTTGGTTACTGTTCCCCAATACTACACTTGCCAAGAGGAAGGTTGGCAAAATCAAAGGCGGCAGGTGGAATATATCAGGGAAGAAGCAGGCCGGAAAGAGAAGTGTTTCATCATAATCACCGAGGAGAGTACCCGCCAGAGGAAATAGGGTATTACTATGTTTGGGGTGCAGAGAATCAAGGAGGAAGAGGAGGTCAACATCAGACGGGTAATCAGAGGGATAACCCATAATTTTATCATAACGGACAAGACCGCCAAAAAGGTTATAAGGGGCAACCTTACGAAGGGCAGATGATGAATGCTGGACCCGGATGAGTTTCAATAGGGAGTTCCTGTAATGCCTATTAAGCAAGGGCCATCAGGGACACCATTATCCTGGAGGCTGAGAGCAGAGCCTATTTTGAGATGGTTCAAGCAACCTAACGACATGAAAACATATAATGGAAGTTCAGACCCCAGATAGTTCGTAACAATGTTTCGAGCAGCAATGTCATTGTGTGGAGAAACAGATTCTCTTTTATGCATAACATTTCCAGTTTTTCTGAGAAAACAAACCTTGGAATGGTTTGCAGCGTTGCCGAAAAATTCAATTGACAGTTGGGTGGAGTTGTCGTTACGATTTACGCAACAATTTTCTCATTGTGGACCATAGCCTAAAACTACACATAATTTATGTGGGGTGAGGCAAAAACCTGGTGAGAAGTTGAGGGAATATTACGAGCATTTTCACGCTGATGCTAGGCAAGTTAAGGGTTCGAAAATCAGACATACTTGCTGCTATTTACCACCGGGTTACAACCAGGAGGGTTGGCAAAGAAGAGGCCGAACACAAAGGAAGAGAATGTTGATTTCTGTCGATCTAATGATTATCACCTATTTAAAATTAATAATTAATTAATTGATATAAGTGAATAAACTACGACCGTTATATATAACTGTATGTGACCGATTATATTTGAAAATAATATAATAGAGAAGGTTGATTACGAAACTCTTGAAAAAAATGAACACTTTGCCAAGAGTCGATAAAAATAATAAAAAGAAAAGATAATAAATGCTATGAACAATGAAATCAAACTCTGGTAAAGTCCTTTCAGATGCAGTAATTTTATACAGATATCTGTTAGAAAACAAAATTACTGGTTAAAAATCAATTGGGCCGGCATTGAAGTGATGGATGACATTTTTTTTGTCCAAGTATAACTTTGACCGAAATTGGGCCAACGTGCTGAAATGTGGCCCACTATTTAGTTGACTTTTGGGCTAAGATCGAGCATTTCTTTTCACATTGGAATTGGGATTCCACGCAACCGTCCAATTCTTACCTACCTCGTAATATTGGGATTAGCCAAATCTGACATTTACAGGATTTAGTTATGGTTATTTAGCTGGTGAAATGAAAGAAAAAATATTAGTCTTACATTTATATAAAGTTTTCCCTTTTAATGTGAGACCTATTTTAAAAGTATATTTTTCATTTAATTTTTATTTAATTACAATTACAATATGCGTTAAATTAAATGAAAAATAATTATACCCTTACTTATTCACTTTAAATAAAAACTTATTTTATAATTAATTATATTTAAACATAAAATATTTATTTCTGTATATTAATTTAGAGTACACTCTCCTAAAAAATATATAAATTTTTAGTTTATTGTCTTTTTTTTTAAATAAGACATCTCATCCTTAAGTTTTTTTAAAATTCTAAATTAATTATGCATATCTTAAATATTTTTATTTTTTAATTTATATTTACTTAAATTCTACTCAAATTAAATGTACATATATTTTTATCATTTTAAAATATTTTGTTATTTGTTTTTTTCCGAATTTAATATACAGATACGAATGCGAATAAGGATACATGCGTCATTATCAGATACCGGGGGTCACGCATGAATAATGGACAACCTAGTACTAGTAGCTACCAAATCTAAGAAAATAATTGAATAC